TGGAGGCTGACAGGCCGCTCTGGGAGAAACACCAGAAGAAGAGACGACGTCTTAAAACCGTTAGTGAAAGTAAAGATCTCAACCTGAAGGAAGGAAATCTCTGCAGGAGGAATATTTAAAACAATTTAACTGCTTTTAATGGAATCAGGAGTTTTATTGCTGGCAGCCATTTTGCCTTCATCCAACTATTTTATTTCTGTTTTTAGATTTCAAAATAAAGTGAAATAAAAAAAGGTAAATCATTTCCAACGTGATAAAAAGAAAACCAGATTTCAGTAAAAAAAATCAATTGAGATGAAGCTCAGCAGCGCTAACGTAGCTTTAGCTTCTCAGATCGAAAACAAACTGAACGAAAACCTGAAACTTCTTTAAATTAGACCTGAAAACATAAAGGTCAAAGGTCAGTCAGAATTTGGAAAAGTCAGAATTATCTTTTTCAGTGACCCGAATCCTCTTTTGCAGCTTTAATATAACTTTGTTCACTTATTTTAATGATTTATTATTATTATTATTATTATTATTATTGGAGCCTTGGAACAAAATGTGTCTCAGTGTTTCACACACAAACCTGCTTTTTCTATTGAGCTGAAATAATTAAATATTCTTCATGTTTTTCTTTAAAGCTCCTCTGTTTGACCCAAAGATCTCAGCATTTAAACGACGGTTTCTCCTGTAATAAATCCATTTTCAGCCTAAGCTGACATGTTGGTGGAAGAGGAGACGCAGTCGGTTCTTCCTGAGCAGCTGCTCCACTTCCCATTGGTTTCTGACGGAGGGAATAATTAAATCCTGGTTCCTCTGCAGGATCAGAATCGGTTTTTGTGCCGTTCGATGGAGGAAAGCCTTCGCATCAACTGATGAAAGGAATTAAGAGAAGCAGATTAGAAGAAACTGGGTCTAAATTTGCTGCATAAGTAATTTTTGATCAATATGTAACGGTAAAAGTTTGCTCTGGAGGCGCTGAACGCTGCAAAAAGTGACGTGCAGCAAGGCTTTAATTATGTGCTTTAAAGTCAAATTATTTTGGTTTATATGGAGAGAAATCAGGGAAGTTGCAGTTTGCAGACATTTCCTCTCCACAGCATTACAATCAGATCGGGATCTGGACTTTGACTAGGCCCTATGTTACCCTAACATTGTCAAACCTCCAGTTCGGTTCTGGCCAAATTGAGTGCGTTTCCATTGGCAGGGTGTTCCTCCCCATGTGGGCGGAGCCATGTCTGATGATGTCATCCTGCCTGTGTTCCATCAGTGACAATTTCTGCAAAATCTGTCTGTGAATTTTTTCATTCTGAGGTTACGGTAAAAACACAATGTTACCCTTGGCCATTAAACGACCGTACATCTTTGAAAAGCAGAAGTGGAGCCTCCTGCCCAACCAACAAGAATGCAGTGAGTGGTACTCAAAGATTGAAACCGAGTTTGAATTTATTTATACTGTTTATAAGGCTGATAGGAGCTAGGCTACAACTAGCTCTAAGCCTGTGGCTTGTTTATTGTTGTCATAGCAACTGCCTACCAAGATGGCTGCCAGTTACAAAGTCTCCTTCATGGTGACATCATGAGAATTAAGTAAAACCAAAACAAACCCAGCAGCTGGAATCACAAAAATGTGAAAAAAGATCATTTAAAATCGTAGCTTCACTTTTATTCTTTAGCTCTTGACCTTTGACTTTTGCCTGGATGAACCCCTGAAACTCGGCCGGAAACTTCTTTCAGTGTGTTTGTTGCTCTCAGCGCTGGATCCGAACACAGAATCCCAGAAATCCCAGAAATCCCGGCGTCTTAGCCGCCGTTAGTCATCCTGATCCCGCTCTAAGCCGCAGCGCCGCGTTGAAGCCGGTTTGATAATTGAACAGTGAAGCAGGAGCGTTTACGTTCTGACAGCGCTGTGTTCTTAAAGTCGGGGGTCGGGGCCCCCGCTCGGCGCGGCCCCCGCTCCATCAAAGCCCATCTGGGGATTTCGGCCCGGTTTAAATTCCCACCTGAGGGACTGAAAGTTTCTGACACCATGTCGATATTTTCTCTCTCCAGCTGCTCTTAACTACCCTCCAACTCTTCACCCTCCTCTTCCTCGCCAACTTTAAAAACAAACTCCAGCTTGTCGGCGCTAAGCGCACACGTTGTCCCGGTTTTGATCTCCATTCGCTCTGCGCTTAACATCGACTTTCCTTCTTCTTTTAGTTTAAATGCTGAAGCCGGAGGACTTTGTCCCGTGTTCAATGAGCTTTCGCAGGATTAAAGGAAACTTAGAGGAACTTAGCAGGTTGGAGGCTTTGATGCAGAAGCTGCTGCTGCTGCTGGGAGAGATGAAGGAATGAACTTTAAACTGCAGGGATGAAGGAGCCAGTGGGAAACGCTCCGTTTAAATATGAAACATTAAAATGAAAGTTTAACATCTCAGGTTTCTGTTTCTGCCTTCAGGGCCTTTTATATCCATCTGACATAAAAACATTTCTGTTGTTCCCATAATGCTTAGTTAACTCTTTTCTAAATGACCAGCTTTAAATTAAATTCCAAATGATTAAATTTTCAACCTTATAAATCATTAATGAATACATAGTAACTTGCAAACTGAACTGTTTTTCTGCCAAACTAACTAGACTGATGAACTAGCTACTTAGTTAGCTAAGCACATTTAAATATGACCAATTCGCCATTAATGGAGTCTAGTTAGCATGTTAAATTTATAGAGTTTAGCAATCTGGGTAAAAAAAATTAACTTTGTAGCAGTTTGGTTAACTAGCTAGATTGCTGAGCTAACTATTTATCTGGCAAATAAATTAAACCATGATAAATTCAACATTGTTGGAGTGTAGTTAGCATGCTACAATTATTGTTTAGTTGTAAAGCTAGCTATCAAGCTAAAAACATGTAGCAAAATGGCTACCAAGCCAGATTTCTGAGTTTGTTAAGTTTGTTGGTAGCTAGCTACCAACAAACTGGAAAAGTTTAAACAAAATATCTGAACAGAGGATCCTGAATCAATATGAGTGAAAACATAAAAAATGTTCAGACCCGTTTGGAAAGATTAACTGTAACTGGGTCGTATCAGTCAGAATAGTTGTGACTAAACGTTTGCAGTTTTTCTCACATCCAGCTGTGAGATCGTATTGATCTGAATCAACGGCGGCTCTTTGCTTAATCTGATCGTATCTGAGAGGAAAAGCAACTTTTTGGGAACATCAATAATGGAGAAACACAGAAAACAAACAAGTCAGAAAATGAGTCAAACAACCTGAAACCAGAGGAAAACGAGACGCTGAAGCATAAAGTTTGAGATTTGATGAAAATTTATGGTTGAATACAAAATGGTGAGAAAATATTTACACCTTTACAAATTCCTAAATATTCATCCCTCCTTCATAAAGTCGAATGATGAACTTCTGCTGTACTTTCCCCCCAAACCAATCAGCAGATCCCACTAATTGCTCCGACCTTTGACCTCTTGCTTCGTTTTTCTCACCTGGTCTGTATTTTTCATTTCTCGGTTTTCCTGCAGGATCTCCTCCGTCTGCCTTTAATCAGTTTCCAGTCTCGACCCCCATCAGGTTATCGATCGTATTGATCAGCTGCAGCTCAACATTTTTCTCATCATTTCTTGTCAGACGATTTCAAAACAACCTGTGGACCTTTGAAGAGTTTGATGTGGAGAAGTTTCCAGCAGTTTGCTCTCGTTTCAGGTGCGACGTTACCCTGAATAAACCCAAAACTTTAACTCTTCTCAGAAACTAAACTTAGACGAAAAAAGAAGCCTCTAAATTAACACAACCTGCTTGAAAAGGTTATAATTTTACACAAAGATAAACTCAAAAATACTTCAAATTAATAAAAAAAATATTTTTTTTTATTTGTGACTCAGCGCAAAGAAAAGTAGCTTTTAGCTTTCCAAAAAGAAATCAAAAGGTCTGCAACAAAACAAAACCATTTTATAGCTTCTTAACGTATTAAATCCAATTGAGGATAAAACTTTACAGCCGTTTGATGTCCGGGATTCACCTTTAATGATGCTGAAATCCAGACTAAATTGTTGAAAGATTAATGAAAAAGACCAAAGGTCTGAGTTTCATTAAAATAATCTGAATTATTCCTGAACTGATCGGATCAATTCTGTCCAGGGTTTGGAAGGAGGAATGTGATTAAAGTGTCAGGTATGTGAGTAATTAACCGTTATTCAGGCATTCTGTTTTAACTTTCATAATAAAATATTAAAACTGGAAAAAAAAAATCAAAGTACGTGAAATCTTTGACTGTTTCTGCTTTTTATCCATAACAAGCAACAAAAGAAAATGAAATCTGTGAATACAAGATGAAATTAGCCCATCTATCCATAGATGTCACTTTATTTGTACTTTTATTTTATCTTTTAACTTGTTCATAACATTTAAACCTGTTCCCCTCCTCGCCTGCGGGGGTGCTGCATCAAGAACCACTGAAGTAAAGAACACAAACATCTTTACTTCCTTCTTCACCAAATAGAAACAAAAATGGAGTAGCATCATGTTTTAGCAACTCTAGGATTTTTCTTTGATTAAAAAAAATTACAAGCTGTTTTTCTCATTAGCGCTAGGCTAACAGTAGTTTTGGTTGCATTTACCCAGAATGACCTGCGTTGCAGTTCACTTCCTGCTTTTGGAGCGGTCGCCGGTCCACTTGGCGTTCACATTTGCAGCAGAGTTCAATCCAGCGACTGGAAAATCCAAATACTGCTTTTAAGTTTCTCCACAAGGTGCCTGTTTGCTAGGCCTCCAATCTTCTGCTTTCAGCAGGCAGCATTTCTCCTGACAGGATGAAACACCACAAAAATATCTGGTGAAATTTGACTCCATCTCTCTGTTAGTTCTGAGCAGACATCTTGTTCTGAACCGTCCAGTTACAAACTCCAACTAAAAGATTAAACTTTAAAAACCTGAACTACTGATCAACTAAACCAAAACAAGTCGTGAAATTTTATCTGATCTTCTGCTGCAGCTGAAATGTGAAGAAATGGAGACAAACTGTAGTTTTAATCTACGTCTTTATTAAACATCAATTCACGTTTGAATACGACACATTGATCAGATTTCAGCAGCTGTGGAGCGAAGCTCACATCCATGCATCACTTCACACGACACCAACACCGACCGACTGCAAACAAACCAACCAGCTGACAGAATCATCATTTTCTGGAAATAATATGTGAGGAAAGCAGAAGTTTGGTTTGTAGTTTTCTTCTGGGTTTTTCCGCTCCGATGCTCTGATCCTTACTTACTCTCTGCCTCCCGTATTTTTCTCACCCGTCTTCCCCCGAGACGCGCAGCAAACATATTTCCTCAAACTGTGAAGAGAGTGCTGCAGAGAGGGAGAGATTAAGATCTCAGAGCTGTCAGGTCGCCTCAGAAATCCCTCCGATCAGAAGCTGCACCGCTTTTTCCTCTTTAAGGAGAAGAAGAAGCTGTGAAAAGCTTTGACACGCTGCGGTTTACAGGTGGAGCGCCACAGAAACGGCTTTCTACATACAACTCTATAGATCTACATGTAGATAGTTTCCTCTGAACGAAACTAAAAGCTTGACGACGTTTTACAGCAGGAAGAAAAACATTCAATAAAAACTTTAACACAAAGAATCAAAACAAAGAAAAAAATGTTTTAAATTGTGCAAATATCCAAGTTTTTACCAGATAATCATGTAACAGGTTGAAGTTGATTTACAAAATGTTTTAAACAAACATCGAGTTTTTCTGCAGTGAATTTTTACCTGAAATCATCTGAAAAGATTTTCTGGTCATTTACTGGAGGAAAGTTTGACTTTTCACAACATTTTGGGTCAAAGTTTCACTTTTTACAGAAAAACTTCAGCAGTTTAATAAAAGAAAAAAGAAAAAATAGGAGAAATTTGAAAGCTGGAAACATTCAGTTCAGTAATGATAACTAAAATCTGAATTGATTGAAACTTTTATTGGTTTTTCTGAACTCAGATTTTGGTACCAACAGAAGTTCTAGTGAACTATTAAAGCAGCGGTCTGAAACGTTTCAGAACAGATACAGGAAGTAAATCTTTTCTCTTATTGTATAACTGAAGAATCAAGTGTCATTATCGATATTTACTCCTTGTTTCAAATATCCAAATCCACATTTGAGAATCCAACATGGCCGCCTTGCACATAAAGCCAACAGGTCACTTCTACCAACTCAACTCTTTCTCTGCACAACCTGCTTCATGCTAGTCATGTTGCTAGCAGCTAGCCGACCCTGCAGATGTCTGATCTGAGATTTCATGTCATCAGGCTCAAATCTTTACCATCAGGCGTACCGCTGGTGGGCCGTGCACCACAGCTTGAGAACCAGGACTTTAAAGTGTATCAAGGAGAGAAAGAAAATAAAAGCTTTAAATCTGGAAGTCTTAAGAAACGAGAAACTTTTTCTGGACAGTTTTACGTGAAAAAAGTTAAAAGTAAAAAAGTTTAATCCAAATAAATTTAACATAAATAAAGTCCAAAATAAAGAGACAAAACATTTTGATTTCCATCGGTTCTCCGTCCTTCAGTCAGTTTATGATTTAAATAAAAATCTTTTTCACTGCGGAAGCGAGAAGCGCGACAAACGGGACGAGACGTTCACTGCAGCCACGGAAACGGCAGCTCTGTGATTTCAGCAGGAAGAGGATCAATAATCTGGCATGAACACGAGATTAAACAGAAACCCAACTCAGATTAGCATGAACACGAGATTAAACAGAAACCCAACTCAGATTAGAATAAAAGTCACTTCAGGTTTCACTTTCTGGCTGCAGCGTCTCAACTGGAACCGTGACTGAACACATCATTAAAGTGTGTTTAATGATGAAACACACACACACACACACCACACACACACACACACACACACACACACACACACACACACACACACACACACACACACACACACAGGAACAGATCCAGAATGTCGACAGTTTTATGGTGAGAAACTTTGATCAGAACAGAAACTAAATAAAAACTTTAAATAAACAGCAGCAAATAAATAAACATGATCAACTGTAGCGGATAAAACAGGAGCCAAACCTGGATCTGAGTTTGGGTTTGGACCTCCAGATGCTCCTACGGAAGACGATTAGTGCCAATGAAAAAAAAAATTTCTCATAGTTCCTGATGGAGCATAGATAGAAAATTAAAAGAGAAATATTTGCTGAAATTTAGATTATAGATTAAATTTCCTATAATAACAGGAAATGTTCACTTTTGGTGAAAGTGCAAAACTTTCACTAGAGGTAATAATATAATGAGCTCCAGTCCAAAACAGAAACAAGCATCTGGACAAAATATGTATCAATAATAATGTCATGTTTGATCATGTGTCAAGATATCGAGGATGAAAATGTTTTACAGAATCAGAATAAATTCAGAATTTGGTGAAAAAATTCAGAATTTTGAGGAAAAGTCGTATACTTGGGTAAAAATTCAGAACTTTGAATAAATTTGAGAAAAAAAGTAATTGAGAAAAAAATTCAGAATTTTGAGAAAATTAAAGAATTTTGCTTTTTTCTCAGAATTACATCTTAAACTTCCTGAAACGATCCTGAGAAAAAAGTCAGAATTCCTGTTTTTTGGCACTAATTGTCTTCCGTAGACCTGCACTACGTTCAGAAATGTATTTGTTTCGTTTTCATCAGAACCATCAGTAGAATCCGTGTCCGGTCCCAAACCGTGGCTCAGGTCCGGGTCGGTGGGCTCGGCCCGATCACACCATGAAGCGATGCTCCTTGCCGTCGTGGGCCATCAGGATGACGTTGCGGTTGGAGGTCCAGATGAGGCGGGCCAGCTTCAGGTGGTTCTGGGAGCCGGGCGAGGCGGGCTGGACCGGAGGAACCTGGTAGGTCTTGATGCAGCGCAGCTGCGGCGCCGAGTTCAGCATCCCGATGCTGCCGAGCAGGCTGGTGTTCATCTGGGAACCGACAGCAAACCGTCACCTCTCAGAACCTTCCAGAACCTTCTGAACCTCACAGAACCTCTCAGAACCTTCTGAACGTCTCAGAACCTTCTGAACGTCTCAGAACCTTCCAGAACCTCTCAGAACCTTCTGAACCTCACAGAACCTCTCAGAACTTTCTACCAGTAGATGTTACATGACTTTCTGTGTTTTCTGGACTCAACATGAAATAAATTTTAAACCTTTAAATCCTTTAAATTAACCGGATGAAAAGAACCAGAACCAGAGCTAATCATGGTTAGTTCTGGTTCTACTATACAAAGTGGGAATGGAGCCGATTCCAGTTTGGATCTCCAATTTATACCCAGTACGATCTGTGGAACCAGCAAGAGGCTGAAACTGGACCAGTCCAGATTCTGAAAGAAAAAAACATGGAGGAGAAACTAGACGCCCCCCATCTACACCCCCCACACACACACCCACACCCCCCCACACCCCCCCCCACACACACCCACACCTACACACACAAATACCCCAAACACACCGACAAAGCGTCTGCCTGCTAATTACCACAGCAGCCGTCCTGCCGGCGCTCGCAGTGGTTTATGCTTACAGTAATGCCATTACTCTGCGTGTGTGTGTGTGTGTGTGTGTGTGTGTGTGTGTGTGTGTGTGTGTGTGTGTGTGTGTGTGTGTGTGTGTGTGTGGGGCATAGGGAGCCATGTCAGAGGTCGTAAAGACCTTTCATTTAAAACAACAGTTCTGGGAAGAGCAGGGAGGCGTTTCTGTTTATCAGTCACACGTGTTGCGGCTCGTCCAGGAAATGATCCGCTCAACGTTTCACTTATTAAAGCTTTGAAGACAAATGAAAATATTACCCAGCATTTCTGTCTGCAGCGAATAAATCTGACAAAATGTGAGAATGAAACGGTACCTGCCAGAAGCAGATGTGGCTGTCCGCGTTGGAGTAGGTGGCCAGGTACCGGCCGTCAGGCGCGAACGACACCGCCGTTATTGGACCTTTGTGGCCGTGGATGTTCTGCAGAGGAGACAGGAGACCTTTCAGAATAAAAGCCTGGGAAGGAAGACTGGACAAACATGACTTTCCTTCATTGTAGATGTTGCACGGTTTCCTCATGTCATCATGCCAGCATCACGATAACGGCGCTAGCATCACGATGTCGGCGCTAGCATCACGATAACGGCGCTAGCATCACGATAACGGCGCTAGCATCACGATATCGGCGCTAGCATCACGATAACGGCGCTAGCATCACGATATCGGCGCTAGCATCACGATAACAGCGCTAGCATCACGATAACGGCGCTAGCATCACGATAACGGCGCTAGCATCACGATAACAGCGCTAGCATCACGATAACGGCGCTAGCATCACGATAACGGCGCTAGCATCACGATAACAGCGCTAGCATCACGATAACGCTAGCATCATGATAACGGCGCTAGCATCATGATAACAACGCTAGCATCACAATAACGGCGCTAGCATCACGATATCGGCGCTAGCATCACGATAACGGCGCTAGTATCACAATAACGGCGCTAGCATTATGATGACGGCGCTAGCATCATGATAACAACGCTAGCATCATGATAACGGCGCTAGCATCATGATATCGGCGCTAGCATCATGATATCGGCGCTAGCATCATGATAACGGCGCTAGCATCACGATATCGGCGCTAGCATCATGATAACAACGCTAGCATCATGATAACGGCGCTAGCATCATGATAACAACGCTAGCATCATGATAACGGCGCTAGCATCATGATAACAACGCTAGCATCATGATAACGGCGCTAGCATCATGATAACGGCGCTAGCATCATGATAACAGCGCTAGCATTTTGATAATCTTGAAAATGCTGAGTGAAATCAAGCGGTTCTGCTGCAGGTGTTGCCCAGGTTTGGGTTTCCTGGAGAACCGGGCCCCGCCAGATTGTTGCTTCTGGGCCAACAGATGCCTCCAGAACTCTGGGGACCGGATCCGGCCGCCGCGCTGCGCGTAACGCAATAACCGCTCCCACCAGCTGCAGGACGCGTAACGCAATAAAAGCTCCTGCGACTGGGATTACAGACGCTCACCTCCAGATGAGATTAACGGCGCGTCGCAGCAGGGGAACCAGCGCCTCAAATAATAACCAGAAAATCAGAAAGCTCATATTTTCATCCCTGCTTTTATTAGAGGAAACCTGGTTAGATTCCAGCAGAGGGACGGAGTCCTGCTGGATCCTGGAGGGAAACGGAACCAGAACCCATTCCTGAACCGGACCAGGATCAACTGAAGGACACAGAACCTCCCAGAGCAGCGGGTCGGAACCATGAGAGGAAACCAGTTACCGACCAAGAGGAAACAGATCCTGGTCTGGGAGTCGATTCAAAAAGATCCATTTGATCCCATTAGTTTTCTCTAAAATCTAAAGTCATGCTGGTCACTTAAATTGTGGATTTAATGCACATTTTAGTTTAAATATAAACTGATGGATTTTGATACAGAATAAAACAATTTTATTTAAATTATTTTTTAGGCTGAATCTCAAAAGTTGGATTAAAGAAATTGTTTTTTAATCATAAATTGTTTCTGAATTGATTTGGATCTGCAGCAGCGATAAAGTGTTTCTTTATCCTTACCCTGACTGATACTTTGTTTCACCGGCTTTTCTTTGATAAAGTCGGTCAGGAACAACAACAACAGAAATGTATGAAAGAAAACCAGACAAAGATCCTTACATGTTAAAATGTCTCTAGAATACAGATAAATGTTTTAATATTCTATTATTTTTGCTGAAATAAAAGAGAAAATAAATTTTCTCTCAGAGGATCTGATGAAATTTTGATGCTTTCATATCTGATGATCTGAGTGGGTCAGTGTGTCACAGTGGGCTGCCCACCCGTCCAACCAGCCAATCAGAGCGCAGCGCAGGAAAACCACTTCCTGTTCGCTCATCACACTGCAGAGACTGATCACAGTCGCTGCCAATCAGCTATCGCTACTCGACCTGCTGGTCAACATGCTAGCGATAGCCCTCATGCTAACATTAGCATTAGAGCTAAAGTATTTACTTGAATCTGAATGTATGAGCCACACTTAGCATTCTGAGAGCAGTAAGTCATGGAGTGCACTGGAAAATATCTTAGTAGACGTAACAAAAACAAATTACTTATTAGCAACACTTATGAGCGTGTTTTAAGTCAATCATTCCTTAAAACTGTATTAATCTACTAGTACTTTTGATCAATATTAAGCAATTATTGACTTAAACAAGCTTCCATATGTTGCCTCAAAGTTACCTATGATATTTTAAGTGTAGTAAGATATTTGCATTGATGCTAATTTCCAGCTGGATTCCAACCGACATGAACAATTTGGCAGAAATGTTGTGGTTAGTATTTATTTTGCAGGTTTAGGACGCATTCTGAGCGTCTGATGAAGGATTCAGGACTACAGTAAGACAACATGGAGGAGGTTTTCTGGAGGCTGCAGCCATGAATAAAAGAACAAACTGCCACCATTGTGATGCTAATCTTGAGTTTGTGTCATCAGGAGAAAGGTGATTCTCCAGGTCGCGGCTCCGCGGCGCTGCCGGATGACAGGATGCACAAAGCGTCCCAGAAAGAAACAGATGCAGCAGAGAGGGGAGAGATGTGGGCGCCGCTCTCTTTGTGTTCAATTAGCGGAGTGGGCAGAGTCTGTTAAAAAGGCAGAGTGGGCAGCTGGACAGAAACACACAGCCAGGAACGCAGCTGACAAAGAGCTGTTCACGGAGGCTGATCAAAGCCGCGGCAGATGGTCCTGCAGCGAGCCGCTACGCTACAGTTGGAAACGCTCCGGCTGAGCGGGATTAGCAGCACAAACTCATCTTCTTCTTCTTCATCATGACTGTTAGAAAACCCGATCGGACCGGACCGGTTCTGATCCCTCTGATGAATCCGACTGGGTTAAGAATAAACACAAACTTCTTTAAAGGTTTTGGTTTCTGAACTGGAGTTCTGCGGAGACATTATTAGCAGTCAGTGTCTTTCCATCTGAGCAGCTGCAGCTTTAACTCACTGAAAACAACTGCTGATGTGAAAGATTTCATCACGCGTCTATAGGAGGATATTTGTGTTTAAGCCTTTCTGGTACTGAGTCATTGCCAGAACTTATCATTTTGGAAAATGAGAAGTTTCTGGAACTTAAAACTGGAAAACTTCAGGAGCAGCTTTTAAAAAAAATCTTCTTTAAATTGTATGCTTAGCATTAGCTTTTGCTAAACACCATGATGGTGTACTGCGACAGCGTTAGCTTAAAAGCTTAGCTGAAGTAGCTAATAACTGAATATTGTGTTGGTGTAGCATTCTAGCATTAGCTTCTGGTCAATACGATGTTGGTACAGCAGTTTAGCGTTTGGGGAACTAATGGTTAAGTTTACTAGTATTTTAAGATTAGCGCTGCTAACGTTTCAGTTAGCGATTGGTAAAGTTTGCTAACTTCACAGCGAGAGAAAAACCTTTGAACCTTTTCTCTGTTTTTCTTGTCTAAAATCAGATCCACTGCTTTCAACACCAGCCAGGAAATCATCCTGCCGTTTCTACTGAAGACATTATTCAAAGCACCAAGAAGCAGCAGAATCAATAAGATTCAGAATTAATAAAACCTTAAAGATTTTGAACTCTATTAATCAAGACGAGAGCTTTCTGCTTCGCTTGAAATAAAACACTTGTAACACACAGTTCCCGCAGGTCCATTGTCTATTAAATGTTAATTAGTGGAAATACCACACAGAAGTGTTTCCCAGCCTTTACACACACACACACACACACACACACACACACACACACACACACACGCACACACACACGCACACACAGTGAATCAAAAGAGATGTGGGCTGAATCGGGCCATGCTGTTTTCAGATATAAATGACCCCCTCCACCAGACTAGACTGCTCAGGTTACTGAAAATCAATACGCAGCAAATTACCAACAAACACACACACACACACACACACACACACACACACACACACACACACACACACACACACACACACACACACACACACACACACACACACACACACACACACACACACACACACACACACACACACACACACCGACAGGGAAAACACACAAACAAGGAACAGCTCACAAACTGCGTCTCTCACACACAATCAAACAGGAACATGATTAACAGAGTCACTGCTTTGTCATTAATCAATTAGTGGGAAGTTAAACTGTTCTCCTCGTTTCTTTGCTTCTCAGAGCCGCTGAGCGAATCTTTCATTTTAAAGAACGGAGAGTTTTATTGGAGAAACATGAAAACAGGTAAAAAGGGAGGAAGAGATGGAGGGCAGGGTGAGGGGCGCAGTGTGGTGAAGAGGAAGAAGGAGCAGGTTGGGTTCCCGACCCAGAAACCTTGCTGCATAAACCCCGCCCCCTGATCTCTGACCACTTCCTGCCTGGTAACTGGATGGATGGATGGACGGACGCTTGTCGAGCTCCTACCTGACATTTTCCCGTGCGAACGTCGTAGAGCGCCACCGATCCTTGGCGCGCTCCGACGGCGATGCGATGGCTGCGGTCGCAGTAACCCACCATGTAGAACCTGAGCAGCAGCGACAACAACGTTTCAGACAATCAACACCAAAAAGTCTTAAACCAACGTTTCAGACTTTTTAAGACTTAACAACAATGTTTAAGAGTATTAAATGTTTTTAAAGACTTTGCACAACATTTAAAACCTGGACAAATACACAAAAAAAGAAAATGGCCCAACGGCGAAGACAAAATGCGATAAAATGACACTTTTCCAATAATAAACATCAAATGCTAGCCAGCTAGCGGGCAATGGTATGTTAGCAGCTGGTTAGCGGTAGCAGCAACTGCCTCAGGTCACAGAGTTCAGGAGTTCAGGGATTAGGTTTGCAGGCGTCCCAAAAGTTTGCCTGCAAACATAATCCCTATCTACATGAGATTAAATAGATTAAATTTTCCTGCAACAACAAAATTCAAGACATATTTAAGGCCAACTTAAATTTTTTAAATGATTTTAAGACATTCTAAATTTTAATTTCTTAATTTAAGACATTTTAAGGCATTACCTTTAGCTTGACAAATTTAAGACATTTTTAAGATGTGTGCACAGCCTGATGACCGCTGACCCCAGTACACCACAGATCAGAACCAAGACACGCTCACAGACACAATCAAACATATTGACCTGCTTCCTGCAACAAACCCTAGTGTGAAGTGACCTCTGACCTCTGCCAGTGGTCAGACACTCCATCAGTTCACGGCGACTGATCACATCAATACACAGACTCACTTGCAGATGGCGGGAAAACACTCCTGCAGTCCTTTCTTCTTCACCAGAGAGCCTTCGATGCAGTACATGATGATGTCCATCACCTGGAACCAGAGGAACCGTCATCAGAACCACGAGACCCGGCGGACCCACAGCGCCAGAGCTCTGGTTCTGCTCACCTCGACCAGCAGGTCCACCACGTCTCCGGGCATCTTCTCGATCAGGATGTCGACGACCCGGAGGATCTCGGCCTTGGCCCGGGCCAGCGTGGTGGTGTGGACGTTCTGCTGGGACTGGGAGTTGGCCTGGGCCGCGTTGTGCCGTTGGACCTGGAGGAAACCGACCGGACTCACTCAGAACATCGGGAACGAAACGGACCCGCTGCTGTCGGAGGTTCTGGACTCACCTCGCGGGCGATGGTGGTGATGAAGGCCGGCGGCCGGGCGGTGGCGATGAGGGACAGGGCGTGGCGGGCGGAGCGCGCCGCGTCGGCGGGGGGGTTGAGGGGCAGACCCATGGTGACGCTGAGGAGACAAACACTGGATCAGAACATCCAGAACCCAAAACTCTACTCCTGCAACACGGATCAAACAAAAGGCCCGGGGGCCAAATCCGGTCCGCCATCGTTTCTTAATCGGTCCTTCAGAGAAACGCATCGAAACTCTCTGGATACCCAGCAACAACCCGCTGAGTACCTCACTTTTTCTACTGCCTCTGATTGACGTGAAGGTGACGTTTCACATTTACTGTCGTACAGAAGTGCAAATATTTCTAACTTTATTGCAAATATTAAACACAAAATCTATGATTTTAATTTCAAAAGAATGAAATCCTGAAATAACTGAACAACATAAAAAGTTCAGTAGATCTCATTGAAAACAGACACAGCTATTTATTAAACTTTTTACAGTTTTTATAAATACATTCTGGCCCTTTAAGAAGCCTCATGATTTTGATTTAAATGATATTCAGAGCCAAACTGTTGCACACTGGTTGATTCAGAGAAGGATTGAGACGCTGAGCCGCTTCAGGAGGAGAAGAAGAAGAAAGGTTGAGCTTCGCTAATATATGGAGTGAAGAGATTAACAGCAGCTTATAATGTCAGGGCCGAGTCAATGGGAGCCATTCAGCAGGCGACAGCATAATGGACTCCCACAATGTAACAGGCAGCAGGCGCACACACACACACACACACACACACACAGCTGAACACACACCCCTCACACACACAGGAAGTGACATCTCGCCACAGCCGCTAATTACCGCCGCTAATATATCGGCAATTTATCAGCAGAACTGAGCTTTTCATTTGGCGGTAATTGGAAACAGTCGCAGCGATGATGTGATGCTGAGCGAACGGAGGCGCCAAGATTAATGAGCCGAACGTGGGCAGAAAAATCCAGATTAACACCAGAGAGAAGGGATTCTGATTACGACACAGAAATATGATCAAAATACATAAAATGACTTCCTGACAGGCTCATAATTCATATTTACATTTCAAAAGGTTAATCTTGATGTCATGATTTGAGGCAAGTGAGAAAAACAGAAAATAATGAAGAGATGATTAGCTGTAAAAATTCTGACAAAATTAAAGATTTCTTTCATTACGCAAAAAGATCCAATCTAAGTAAAATAAATGTTATTTCAGATAATTAAATCACTAAAATGCAGTCAGAAAAGTTAATTTAACAGAAACATGTTCAAAGTTCAGTTCAAGGAGAATAAAAATAAATTTATTCATGTTTATAGTTCATTTATATGAGACTAAACTCCCATAATGCACCAGTTCAATGACAGTTGGATAAAGTGTCATGACAGTTTTGAAAACAATTGGATACGATTCAGTTCCACATATGGAAGTGTTAAAAATGTGATGCGACTCGCAGCATTATGAAATGTAAACTAATTTTATCAGTTTTTGTTTTAAATATCAGAAATTCTGCCAAGCTGATGCCGTGACGTTTCCTCCTTTAATCAGTTTTGACTCAACGCTGTTTTTTTAAAATTTTTTTAGACGAAACCTGAAACTGCTGCTGCGCCAATTACGCTGCAGGCTGTTGCTAGGCTACCAATGAGCAAGATGGCTGATGCCACTAACCTAGCGTAGCTAGCTGTGAGAGGTTTAGCGGCTAAAGCGTTTCCTCTGCCTACATCTCCCAGAATGCTGTGCGACTCTGGATTGGAGGAATATTCTATCAGCTGTAGTATTTATTGATGTTGGTCTTTTGTGATATATATATAGTTATTGATTTATTGTCCGGCCGTGTGTTATATAAATGATAAAGTCTGATATCTTCAGAACGTTTGAGCCTCTGCAATCCGGCGCCGTTCTGAACCGCTGCAGCTCTGAATCGGACCGTGACTCTGGCTGAAACGCTCCGTCTGTGCTGAACTCTCAGCTTTCTGCAGAGACTCCAGCATGTGTGAACCTGGCAACATGGCTACGTTCACAGCCAATAGCGCGCTGACATTACCCAGTCGATACAGAGTCGCACAGATATTGATTTCTGACTGGGAGGGAGGAGAGAACAACCCAGTCACATGACAGGGAGCCACCGCTGTAAAGAACTGGCATTGTGTGTGTGTGTGTGTGTGTGTGTGTGTGTGTGTGTGTGTGTGTGTGTGTGTGTGTGTGTGTGTGTGTGTGTGTGTGTGTGTGTGTGTTTAGGCACTGACTGACCGACTTACTGATTGGTTCCCCCAGTCGGGTGCAGATGGACGAACCGGTTGGTTTGCCAGCAGGCTCACAGATTGATTTACTGGAAGGTTTCTGAACCGACTGCTGAGCTGCAGTTTGACTCAACAAACCGGATCATAACAGAAAACCTCTGAAGAGACGATTTGAATGATTCAAATAACCGTCGTTAGTCTGAGCAGGTCTGTTAGCGCGCAGTTTGGTAGTCTGAACACAGAGCCAGGGTGGAAAGACATGAGGAAACAGAAGGTCATCTCTGCACTGCGTGGAGATAATATCAGTAATACTTCCTGCAGAAATCCTGCCAGCTCATGAAAACCACTGAAGGATTTTTCTTTTCCACTTTCATTTTTAGCATCATAAACAAAAACATTTTTTCATTTTTAAAACGTGTTTTGAGATCTGAGAGAGCGTCCTGAAACCTCTGAAGGTTTTTACATATTCAGGTGAGATTTTTAATCTCTGGAAGCTTTTAAAAGTCTTTTCCCGTTGGAAAGGGATTAACACACACACACACACACACACACACACACACACACACACACACACACACACACACACACACACACACACACACACACACACACACACACACACACACACATACACACACAGTAAAAATGTTTCAGACAACAGAAGATGGAAAAATCCAGAAATGATCAGGTTGCTTTGGCAGCTCCTTCCTTTCATAAATGAAACCATCATTTAAAAACAGATTTTTTTAAACTTCCTGTTGCATCATAATAACCAAATCAGCAGGAAAAACTCCAATAATAAAACATTTAGTTGTTTTAAAGGTAACAATAAAATCTGTCAGCTTGTGCAGGTGATGGGGAACTGACTGCTACTGCTGCGCCTGTTATTGTGTCATGAAGAATAAATAAAGTTTATTAGGTTACATCTGGTAATGTTGTTGCAGCAAAACGCTACAGACGGCGGCATTAGGACCAGCAGTAATGGCTTCACTGGCTGGAAGATTAATGGCGTCTGAAAGGAGCTTCTGTAAATAAATACATTATTTTAAAAGGTCATAAGTCAAAAGAACGACAATAAAAACGCGTCTGCGATGAACCGAGGCATTCTGCCTGCTGGGATTTCAACCCACAACTGTCTGAAGGCGGCAGCAGTCAGAACGGGACAGACAGCGTTACATCATCATAATGTCCTCCAATCAGATTACAGCAGCGCCTCCATAACTCAGAGAGTCGGCTCTGGAACGGCCGGCAGCTTTAACGGGATCAGAATCAGCCAATCAGATCAGCGCAGTGATCAATTATACAATTAAACGGATCAGCAAAGGCCCGCCAGAACTCAGAGGAACTTTATTCATTTTGTCACGTTTTGGGTAATTTAGATGTTTGATCTGATAATCAATCCGATTCAGGCAGGAAGGAGCAGGAACGCACCTCAACCTGCAGGAAAAATAAATATCTGAAAAGTGTGGTGTGCCTCTGTTTTCAGCTTTTGTCGTTGTTTACATTGCAACTTGCAACATCTGCTTCTTGTGGTGCAGAATTATGACCAATCAATGACGTGAAAGTCAGAAAAAATGCAACATGAACATTGAGACTGCAGAATATTGTCAAAGAGAAACAAATCAGATAATGCTAAAGCACTACATTAGCAAAAGCTAATGCTATAGCGCTAAATTCAACCATATTGAGTTGCTATAACAGAATATTGTCAACAATGTCTGTTGACCAAAACATCAACAGACATTGAATTATATTCAACTGAAATTTTACAGGACATTCAGGTAAATAAGAGCTTCAGTATTTATCTAAAAAAATTATTTTAGGGGAAGCTAAGCTAGCTAATTCTTTTCAAAGTTAGGCAAATGCTGACATAAAAAATGATCTGTTATTATAGTGGAAGTGAAAAGTGGTTTAAGAGAAATAAAGACGAACTGAAGTCATGAATCTCATGAACTGAACACTGATGAAAATCTACAGAAATTATTTTTTATTTTTTATAAACAGGAGCAACATTTTGCCTTTACATTGTATTTTCCAGCAGTAAGAAGCTTAAAATCAGAAGCAGCTGATCTGTTGAAGTTCAGCCTCCAGTCCCACATCAGATCAGATGTTTGATTGGTTCTCAGTTCTGGCATGAAGCAGGTCACCGTAGCATTGATTTAACTAAGGTGTGTGTGTGTGTGTGTGTGTGTGTGTGTGTGTGTGTGTGTGTGTGTGTGTGTGTGTGTGTGTGTGTGTGTGTGTGTGTGTGTCTGTCTGTGTGTGTGTGTGTGTGTGTGTGTGTGTGTGCGTGGGTGACTCACTTCGCCAGCTGCTTCTCTGCGTCGGCACACAGCTCCAGCAGCCCCATGAGCACCGCTGACACGTCCATGTACGGCTCCCAGACGGTGAAGCCGCGGCCGATCAGATCGATGGCGGTGCGGCGGATGGTGCTGTGGGCGGGGAGTTTGGGGCTGGGGGGCTGCAGCAGCAGGAAGGTCAGCGCCTTACCTGAAAACACAACCACAGCAAAGTGATTCGCAGCTCAACTTTCCCCAAAGTCCAGGAGAATCTCAGCGGTTTGGAGTTGGAGTTATGAAGAGCAGCAGACTGAGGTCACATGTCAGAACCAACATGTCCGCCACATCGCTGTAAAAACATCATAAACACAGGATGGGTTCCAGAGACGTTTTCATCCGCAGGGATCCAACCAGTCTCCTGCTTAGCATTGTTTTAAACACACCAAACCCACAGGGGGCGCTGTAGCAAGGCTGAAAACCGCCAGCCAATCAGAATGCTTCAAATAAACCACAACTTCCTGTTAGGAATCAAACATGGCGGCAGGACGATCGTGTGTACGTTGAGTTACTCATTAAGTTGTTGATAGGTAACGAAAGAGGGCGGTTCTGGATCATAATCAGTGAATCGAATGTTGTTATTGATTTATTGTCCAGTTAATGAAGAGGTTTGACATGTTTTAGTCGTGACCATCAGAACGAAGCCTCATCTGTGACGACGTTGCTTTTAAACTGAACGATGGTTCACAAATAAAATCCTCTTCCTGTAAGGAATGAGACGGTGAGGAGGAGACGGCTGCTGCTGCTGCTCCTGCTGCTGCTGCAGCAGCTGCTGCTGCTCCTGCTGCGCAGTCTGAGACGGGAGGTCACTTCATAGCTGACCTGACATTTGAGCCAGACTCTGTGGGGACAGGCTGACCATTAAGGAGTCCAGAAAACACCGCCGCCCCTCAGAACACGCTCGCTTCCCCACAGACAAACACCCACAGCCCACATGAGCTTCACCTGCAGGATCCTCTTTAAGCCAGGAAATGCTTCGCTGATCAATACCGAGTCTTCTCTTTAAATGCAAATACAGAAAGTCGCGTTATGAAGAAACATGGAATAAAGCAGCAATGATTTACTTTAGTTATGATCCTGCAGTGACTCTAAAGGTCGTCGCTTCTCCAGAGACGCACAGCTAATAACATCAGCCGGATCTCCTGGCATTTCATCCCCCAGTCCTCCTTAAATGGCAATCCAGTCCCTCCTTATTGGTTTATTTCTGCACCCAGGCGGCTGAAACATTCAGCTGCAGGCCGTTACTGCAGCTGCACTGACAGACAAACCAGAAACGATCAGCAGCTTTTAAAAACCTTTCACCTCCACGGAGCATGGGCCGTGTTAACGACTCATCAAAGGTTTAATTTTACCTCATTTTGCACTTATTGGGTTTCCATAGATCAGTGATGGCAGCCAGGGCGGCCATCTTGTTTCACAACTTCTATTAATTAGACTTTTTTTTACGAAGCCCGTCTTGATGAATTTTGCTGCATGATAAATTGTCCCAGTAATTATTGCAACAACAATAAAATAGTTTTTTTCGATAATTTTCAAGTAACATCTTGGTAATAAAGCAGTAAACTTTAATTCTGAAAATGAAAAGGAACAATATAATAATTAAAAAAACAATAAAATAGATTATGAATAAAAAAATAATCACAAAGGAAATTAGAACGTTCCCAATCATCCTGCTGGTGCAGAATCTTTGTGTTTCATTTTTAAAATTGTTAATTAAAATAAATTGTCATGTTTTTCAGAGAAATTCCCTCCAATCTGCACCAAACTGATCCGATGCATAAATCTGCCTCGTCTTAATGAGTTGTTGGTGGCAGTAAACCGGCCTCATCACCAGACGCAGCGTGATTAAAGAGAGGAGGGAAGGCAGGAAGGCAGAGAGAAGTGAGTGTGAAATAGTGACAGATTAGTGACGTCTAAAATTTAGCAGCCTGAAACGAGCGCTAACAGGCTTTGTGCTTCCTTTCCCCAGCTGCCCTCTCCCTCTTTATCTGCCTGCGTTTGAGCCTAAATGAGAGCTGAAGGTAAATCAATGCGGAGACTTGGTTAGTGGATGAAAGCTGGATGAGACCGGCTGCAGAGAGACGGGAAAACACCAAACCGCCAGACTAACAGCATCACATCCGAATGACGAGTCACATAAGATAACAATTTAAAAAATAATAATTTAGGTTAAAAATAAGTTCAGGAATAACATGGTGACTGTTTGAAAACAGAGGAGTGTGACAAACAAGAGTAGCAGGAATATTTAATGTAGCATGTAAGCAACGTTCATTTCAGGACTTTAAACGCTTTAAATGATCTCAATTTAATTATGTTAGCTGGACTTTTTTTAAATTATCTTTGAGTAGCTATTAGCTTCACTATTTGTTACTCTTAGCTTGACTCTCGGTAGCTGTTAGCTATTTTTTATTATCTTATGGTAGCTGTTAGCTTGATCTATTGCTAGCTTGTTAGCTTTACTCTGGGTAGCTGCAAAACATTAGCGGTTAGACTCAGTGTTTTTACCTGAGTTAACGGCAGAGTCTGTAATCATTCAGTTTAAGAAGTCCTGATCATTCACGACCTTCTTTAGAAATGTAGCAGCTGACATTAGCGCTAGCTGCTACATGTTTACCATTGACACGCTATTTTAGGCTGAATGGTTTTGGTGATAAGCTAACTGCTTTTAGCACAAAAACAGTGTTTTTCATCGTCCAATCGGATTGTTTTAATTATCCTCCAATGGGCCGAGAGGAGCAGCTTCATCTGCTTGTGCTTCAGAAATACGGTTGTACCAGAAACACAAAACAAAGGTTCCAGCTTAGGATGTTTTAAAAAGTGATTCTTACTTAAACTCTGAGTAATTAATGAATTGAAATCAACATCTTAACATCCAGGCCTCAAAAATCAAGATCCATCCGAACATGGCCAACGAAGTTTCAAATTAAAAGCGTTTTATTTGACTTCCTGCTTTTAATCGCTGCCTTTCCAATACTGCGAAGTGAAACTCAATTTCCAATCAGCTCTCATGAATGTTTGAAAATGCCACAGTTTGCAGCAAACAGCCTCCGGAGGGGCTCCAGGTTTCCTGACATTTACCTGTGAGCAGAGACTAAACTCTGACGTGCAGTTTGTCCCTCTCACCGCCCAGCGCTCCTCCTGCTGTCATCCGTCCATCCTTCCTCTCCTCCGCTCCATCTCCCCAACATTTCCCCCTCTCATTCTGTGAAAACATCAATCTCTGCCCTGCTGTATGGACTACTGTACCCTGCCTTTCACTGGGCAGACAGCTCTCATTCATCACAGCCTGCGCCGTTCGCCAGCAACACCAACAACAGCGATCCATCTTTCAATTTCATAACTGGAGAGAGGAGGGAAGAAAACAGGCAAACAGACGGAGAGGAAGGTATGGAGAGAGAGAGAGAGGACACAACATGTTTTTAATCATCCTTTAGGGTGTCTGGGCTTTAAAGGCATCCTGTGTTTTCTTTATGGTGCGCTGAAAACAGGCCTCAAAGACAGAAAACTGACAATTCCTCTGAATCCAAAACTAAAGCACAAAGCAGGGGGTAATAATCAACAATTATTCCTAATTTCAAGGCTGGAGAAATTTCTAATTCTTCAGTATCTATAAGGATTCTGCTGGAAGATGGAGGGCGTCTGTAAATCTCAGTGTTGAGTGACCTTTGTGCCCTCAGGCGCCGCTGCTCTAGAAACCCTCATCTCTCTCGGATCAATACGTCCACACGGACTCAGGAGACCTTGGAAAACCAGCGTCATCAGCAGAGGCGGCTGCTGCATCCAGAAACCAGAAAACACACAAAACAAGAAGGACTCTGCAGGCCAGAAACCGCCCGGCGTGACGGAGGGGGAGGAAGGCAACGGCTGCTGGTCTCCCACAGTCCCGCCTCTTCCCAGTAAGGAATCTGGAACTGGAACAAAATCTTCACTTCTGTGATTCAACCATAACATCTGAGCTGTTTTTCTGGTGACAGAAAGCATTAAGCTGCAGCTTTAGCCTTCAGCTAGAGTTGCTTGTCGTTACCAGCTAGCTACAGCAACGTCAGAGCGCAAAAATCAATCTTTGATTTAATCTATTGCTTTTGATGGCGAGAGCGCACGCCCAATTCAAATCAATACGAAGGTATCAATCAAAATTAAAAGCAAAACCTGCCACACGCAGCAGTCACTACGCGCTCACCTTGGAGGGAAACATCGCCACGCCGGCGGCACGAAGCAAATAATCAAACTTTGCTTACAGGGTTCGATTATATCAGGTTTTTATTTCCATTTATAGTCTGGTTATTATATTTTATCTTGTATCTTTAAAATATTGTGTTTTTGGACGAAGAGCTCACCTCTAGAAACACGACTTCATGGTTTGATTAAAGCTCCATTAAACCATCAAATAAAACTGTTTAAAGTCCTCAGCACAGTGAGGCACCAGGAACCATTCACAGGAAGAACCTGGACCTGCTTTCATATCGTCAGTTTGGGAGAAAGAGTCAAAGCGTCAAGAATCAGGAAATGATTCAAACCGTGTGACTCTCCGCCTGCAGTTTCCCCGTCAGAGGAAGTGAGTTCACTGACTCCACACAGGTGATCTGGATGCCGGCTTCACGCTCCACAGCCTATCAGTGGGAGCGCAGGTCCTGTCGCCGGGCGGACGCCCGAGGCAGCCTATCAGAGCTCGGGAGCAGCGGGACGGAAGAGCGGCCTTACTTAGTGCAGGTTTGATGCCCGCCGAGGCGCGGCGCGGCGGTGTGCGGCGCGGCGGTGTGCGAGGAATCAGAGCAGAGCTCCTTAAGGTGTCAGGCCTGGCAGGTGAAAATCAATCCCTTCTCTCTGCTTACCGCTAATCCAGCACTGAAGTTTGCAGCTTGTGAGCTGAGGAGTTATGAGTTTGGAAAACCTGAACCACTGCAGCTGTTTCAACAAAAAACTAAAAAAATAATTAATAAACGATAATAATGATGATGTGCATGTCTATAATATTTATAAATGATCGAAGACTCTTGAAAATGTTTTACGACTGTGTGTCACATTAAAGGAGAGTTAACTGCAGGAATCATTTACTTCCTGTTTCCTGCTTTATGTTTTGTGTCCAACCATCACAAACATAAAATGTGTTTTATTAAAGTTAGAAGCTCAGAAACACTTCAGGCAGGTAGAGTAGAGGATGTGTGATGCTGTGGGAACTGAGCTGAAGTACATGAAGTTATGAACTGTATCCTGGGACTTTTTAGATAAAAACCAGGTGACCTTTGACCCAGAGGTTTCGTACTCACAGGTGTGTCTGGCGAGTGAGTAGTTGGACGAGCCGCCGCTCGTCGATCCGAAGCCTTCCGGCACCGCTCCTCCGGGTCGAGCGCACCGAACCTTTGGGCGGTTCGATCTCGGCGCCGAACTCGGCTCCGATGACGCCCAGCAGGACGATGGCGGTGGCCTGCTTCCGCCGCTCCTCGTACGAGTTGGAGATCTTCTTGGCGTTTGGCGGGAGGTTGGACAGGCAGCCTGGCGGAGAAACGGAAACGGTTCACAGGTTTCCTCTGCAGAGTCAATCTCACGACCAACAACCGAATCTCAACGCTTTGGATCCTTAATCCTGATTTTACGAGAGAAACTCAACTGACGACAAACTTGAACTACTTTACTGAGAAAAGCAGAGCTAGCATGAGCTGTTACTTCTTCTTTTCGACAGTTTTTAACCAGAACGAACCGTTCTGACGTTTCCGTAGAGACTTACTCACTTGCTCTTTGGTCGCCTAGCAACTCTCATTCTTTGGTCGCCTAGCAACCCTCATTCTTTGGTCGCCTAGCAACCCTCATTCTTTGGTCGCCTAGCAACAACCTGTGGAGTAACTTTTGCAGCAGCAGATTAAAGTTTAGCCACTGAGCATCATTACTGCTTAAAACTAAAAGACAACAGAACTGGATAAAACTGGATAAAACAGGATAAAACAGGAAGGTGACGTCACCAGATTGGTGGTATTTCAGATATTTAGACAAAAATCTCGTCAATAATTTTTATATCAACTGAAATAAAATGCTTCTGTTTTTTGGGCCATGTGGAAGGATCTGTGGAAGGAAGGAGGAAATGCACGCGGTGCCTCGTGGTTTTCAGGCGATGAAGCTGAAGGGGATCCCGTCCTCCAGCCTGAAGACTCTCTGGGTTCCCTGAGACTAAAGACGACGTCCAGAACTAAACACCAACCAGAGGAACCAGACAAGACAAAGAGCCGAGCCCTTCCTGCTGCACGGCGGCCGCTGCTGCAGGTTTCCTGGCGTCTAAAGATGGCGTCAGGATAAAGGGAGACTTTTTTCCACCTTTTCATTTCTTTCTTTTGACGCTGGAAAAGCTGCAGCTGGCCTGTGAGTCTCCAGTGAGCTGATAACAAGTGAGCGGCACACTTCTTTTGTCCCGGCATTAATCACCACACAGGCACACGCCTCATTGTGGCTCTGAAAGCCTTTAGTCACACTGGGAACGCATTGAAACGCCCAGACGGCCATGTTCACAAACTCCTGCCGGGGCTGGGCGCGTGCGGCCGCTTTGTGAGGGAGGGAGCGCCTCTCCATTGTGTCCGCCGAGGCGACCCCGGAATAACCTCCTTTGTACGGGCGCGTGCGGTGGGGCCTGCTCGGCGGGGGGCCGAGGCGGTGCGCGGGCCGTCAATGTGTGTTGCACAGTGGGAGATAAGAGCTGGGGACACACTGCGGATCAAAAGACCAATGAGCAGCGCATAGAAAGCGGCGCGTGTGGATGAGCGACGCTCCGCCGCTAGAGAGTTACACAGAACTCACTTCCGAAAGGTGGAAAGACCTTCAACACCTGGGAGTTCAGGGAGAAACGGCTCAGACACAACCAGACTGCGACTGCAGCGCCGCCAAATTATCTAGAATTTAACAATGCAAAGGGTTAAAAACCTGCAAAGGATTTGAATTTTTATTTTCCTTCAGACTTGCAACAAACATGGCCTTCATCTTACTGATCCATCTAGAGGACTGGCTGTGATCAGGACAGATATTTCCTGGCTGTAGCTCTCCCAGCTGAAGCCACCAAGCGTTCGGCTGTGGGAGATGTTATCGTCCCACACGGAGCCGAACGAAGCGCCGTCAGACGCCCATTTGATCCCAAAACAGCTGACTGTGCAAACACATCCGAGAAGCATCCCAGGTGGAATGAAATCCAAGATGGATTCCAGTTAAAAGCATCCGCCTGGACAGACGCACAGAGCCAGAGGAGCGACCCGCCGCTCAGGCCCATCAGCGCCGGCCTCCATGGAGCTTCATATATTATTTTTCCCGTTTTTTGCTCATTTTTCAGACGCGCTCCCTGCCCACATATTTCCATACCGCTGCTCTTCATAATGAGATTGCTAAAAGCCAGCTGTCATTTGGAAGGCCCAGCAGTTGATAAATGGATTACATATGGCATCTCTGGGCCAGACCGGGCCAGTAGATAACAGAATTACAGATGGACTCCCAGCCAGAATCCCTAAAAAGTTCAGATTTACAGAGAAAGTGAGGAATAAAGACAGCAAAGACTGAAGGGCTTCTGACCGACCGACTCAAACTGCAGAGCGAATCGCAGACCGAGTTCTTTACGATGTTCGGATGCAGTTAAAGTTGAAGAGACGCCAGAGAGAAAAAGATCAGGAGCTGCATTTCCAAATTCCATGGTGTTCTGTTCGAAAAATGGGATTACGAACATAATTTTGCTTAATTGAAACAAGGCAATTGTGAAAAAAACTTCTTTTTGCACAAAATTAATGGTTTGCAAAACTGCAATGGAAACATTTTTCTTACTTCTTGCAACAAATTTCATATTTTGCAAAAATTGTGTATTTTGCACAACTAAAATCTTTTTTTTTTTACATTCTGCGATTAAATTGCCGTTTTGCCACACTTTTCAGATCACACGAGTCGTATGATCAAAAACCGGATGTTACTACTGACGGAGACGACAAAGACAGGAAGTGACTGGAGGATGACGGCGCTGCACGTTTTAAAACAACTTACAGCCTGAAGAAACTTATTCACATGATTTTAATTAAGTTTCCTAATTAATGGGGGAAAAAAATCACAATTGCAAAATTATCTTTGATCCAGGAAGTTGAAATCCTTTGGGGCAACTGATCACGATCCAGGCAGCTGGTGCAGATTTAATAACAAAATGTTTACTTATGCAACAGAAAGTATTCATCCAGGTCTTTGCTCTGATTTAATAGTTAAAGGAGACAAGAAAAGCCAGTTAAAATGCAAACATTTTAGTTAAATAACCGGTCAAAAATAAAGCAATAAATAAAAAACAAAGTCGGGTTTTTGTTCTTTCAATCTGATGCCGAATCATTTTGTCGCCTCTAATCGTCTGAGACAAACTTAAATTTGAAGTTTTCCAGCGGAGCTTCAGCGGCCGGTTGGTTTCCGCCGGTCCGAACTCTGCTCCGCGGAGCCACTAATTGATTTTTGAAGCCAATCGATCGGCTTCCTTCGCGACCAGCAGATCTATTATAATGACATTGCATCTAAATCCTATTTGTGGGCCAACCTACTCCAAAACATAACCCAATAAAGTAAAGAGGAGGACAGAGGAGCGCCCCTCCGCACTCGCCTCCGCTCGGCTAAATCTTCATAAAAACGAGAAATGGAGCGGGATAAAAAGGAATTCTGGCAGAAATGAGATTATCCATAAAGGAAGGAATGTATTAAAGGAAAGGCGGAGCGCCGTAATGCAGCAACCTGTGGAGCCCAGCCGGCCGGATGGACAAATTAAAGACATCTCATAAAAGCAACTGAAATGTCACTCAGCAGATAAAACTGTGACCTTTAAGACAAAGTTTTACTCCGCCAATAAAATTAATAATTCACATCAACATTGTTTTAAAGAGCACTTTATATTTCGGTTTATTTTCCCTCGGCTTTTGTTCTGATCCGATTCGGAAACCAAGATGTCTGCAGAAACGTCTCAAAGACGAAACGAAAAGAAATGATGAGGAGAGACAGAAAATACAGAAAACTGTCAAAATCAAGGAGGAAGAAAAGATGGACGAACAGAGAAGGAATGAGATTAAAACTCATAAAATCATCAGATCAGCTATGACGGGTCATAAAACACGACATCGATGGAGCATCGAGACGTTCATGAGTCATTTCACCAAGTCAACCAAGTCTTTGGGCGAAAGGAGAAGTCAAGTTTTGTTTCTGGGAGAAAGACAAAGTCAAGACAAAAGTCTTTAAAGGGTAAGTCCAACCAAGTCTCAAGACTCTGGGAACCAAGTCCAACCAAGTCTCAAAACTCTGGGAACAAGTCCAACCAAGACTCAACTCTCTGGGAACCAAGTCCAACCAAGTCTCAAAACTCTGGGAACAAGTCCAACCAAGACTCAACTCTCTGGGAACAAGTCCAACCAAGTCTCAACTCTCTGAGAACCAAGTCCAACCAAGTCTCAAGACTCTGGGAACCAAGTCCAACCAAGACTCAACTCTCTGGGAACAAGTCCAACCAAGTCTCAAGACTCTGGGAACCAAGTCCAACAAAGTCTCAAGACTCTGGGAACCAAGTCCAACCAAGTCTCAACTCTCTGAAAACCAAGTCCAACAAAGTCTCAAGACTCTGGGAACCAAGTCCAACCAAGACTCAACTCTCTGGGAACAAGTCCAACCAAGTCTCAAGACTCTGGGAACCAAGTCCAACCAAGACTCAACTCTCTGAGAACCAAGTCCAACCAAGTCTCAACTCTCTGAGAACCAAGTCCAACAAAGTCTCAGGACTCTGGGAACAAGTCCAACCAAGTCTCAAAACTCTGGGAACAAGTCCAACCAAGACTCAACTCTCTGGGAACCAAGTCCAACCAAGTCTCAAAACTCTGGGAACAAGTCCAACCAAGACTCAACTCTCTGGGAACAAGTCCAACCAAGTCTCAACTCTCTGAGAACCAAGTCCAACCAAGTCTCAAGACTCTGGGAACCAAGTCCAACCAAGACTCAACTCTCTGGGAACAAGTCCAACCAAGTCTCAAGACTCTGAGAACCAAGTCCAACCAAGTCTCAACTCTCTGAGAACCAAGTCCAACCAAGTCTCAAGACTCTGAGAACCAAGTCCAACAAAGTCTCAAGACTCTGGGAACCAAGTCCAACCAAGACTCAACTCTCTGGGAACAAGTCCAACCAAGTCTCAAGACTCTGGGAACCAAGTCCAACCAAGTCTCAACTCTCTGAGAACCAAGTCCAACCAAGTCTCAAGACTCTGAGAACCAAGTCCAACAAGTCTCAAGACTCTGGGAACAAGTCCAACCAAGACTCAACTCTCTGGAACAAGTCCAAGCAAGTCTCAACTCTCTGGGAACAAGTCCAACCAAGACTCAAGTCCATGGCTCAAACCTCTATTGACTGAAAACCATTTCCTGGTCCAATCCACGATAAAAATCCAAACCTGCCCCATTTGCCTCCAGATCTAAACTATTATTTGATAATAATAATAATATAGTCCTTAAATCCATTACTGTTCATAAATAACTGTGTGAAGGATTCATTTCATGTGACAGGATTCTCAATCTTTCTATCAGAATCTTGTTCCCAGTTTTCAGCTCGGTGTTTGAAGCCGTCATACATTTTTATTTTCTACCCAACGGTGAATATTAAATATTCACCGTCTGAATTTCATCCCTGCCAGGAGACATTTTGAATGTTTTCCTTGATCTGAAGTTTTGTTTGCTGCTTTACCCATGAAGCCCAGACTTAACTCTGAGATAAAGAGAGTTGAGGGCAATCAAACCGACAACCTTCCCTCTGCTCCCTCCTACAAAGGCAACCCCAGCAGCTTCCCATCATGCTCTGCTTCCATTGGTAATCAATGGGAGACTGGTAAAAACCCGATCACCGGGGACCGATGGAGGGGATCAATAGCAGCACAGAAATTATGTGAGAAAGTGCAAGAAGGAAAACGCTGCAGGAGGAGAGACAACTTTGAGAGAAATGTTTAATAAATGTGAATAAATATTCCAGCCTTCCCAGCTGAAGGAAAGCGTTGAGTAAGACGAAGGACGGCTGGCGGCGCCTGGGGAAAGGAACCATGTCCTTACTGTAAATGTCAGGAGACTGAAAATCTGGGGAAATAATTGAAAACACAATTAAGTTGATAAAGAAAAAAGATTTGAGTCCTGAAACGGTGGCTGCCCTTCCAACGGGCCGAGTCCAGCTGAAGGTTAAGTGTATTTTACCATCTTAAGACACAGACAGAGCAGCTATCTGCGCCCAGCGTGAACGCCGGGCTTCAATTAGACCGCATGGAGGCAGGCGGGGGAGGGGGTCCGTCCTCACCAGAAACCACAAGACAAACTGAATTCAAGTTCAGAAGGACGAGGAAACAGACCAACTTTCTCTTCTGAGCAAGCAGAGAGTCAAACTTTTCATCCAAACACTTTAATCCACATTAAATATTTCAGATTATTTTGGTGGATGTTTGTGTTGGTTAATCAGCTGCTTCTGGTGGTTCAACTAACCATCATTTGGTTAGTTGGTTTCAGTTATTTAGTCGATGGGTTGGTCAGTTTGGTTCTGTTTGGTTCAGGTTAGTTACTTTGATCCATTGGTTTAGTTTGAAAAGCTGGTTGGTTACGTAGCATTTGATTGGCTGAGGTTTTGTTTTAGTTTTTTTAAGCCTGGCATTTTGGTTTGGTTGAATTAGTTAAGTTTGGTCAGTTGGTTGGGTTTAGTTCAGTTGGTTGATTGGTTGGTTTACTGCTTACTGTTTATAATTAGTTGTGGCTTTTTGTGCTCATGTATTTAATGGTGAAAGCTATGAGGAATTAATTGTTTTCAATCCAAATCAACAAAAGCTGAGGTCACATCGTTAATTGGGTTAAGTGTAGAGAGAACCTGGTGTCACATGCACAAAACCCAAAAATGAAGAAATTTGTGTTAATTTTTTCTAAAACTGCAAAAGATTATTACTTGAGACCAAAACAAAATCTTCTTTGAGTCAAGAAATTACATACAAAAATGTACTAACATTGATACCAACTTGATATCAATATTATCAATATTTTGGATCGATCTGCTCACCTCTGGTATTTCTAGAAAACTGCTGCAGCACGACTCCAGTTTGTTTCTCAGAGATGCATTCCTCCACATTACCAGTATTTAGAGAGGAGCTTCTTGCTGTAATAAAATAATATTCCCATCCTGCAGCTGCGTCCCGTTCTGGGGACACCCAGGAACAATCATCGGAAACAATCAGAGCCCTCAGAGTCGCGGCTCCCGACATTTATCTCCACAGGAGCTCAATCTGTTCTGAGGAGAAACGCGATCTGACCCGGCCGACCCCCCCAGGCCGGGGGATTAGATTAGACGGGGAGCGTGGCGTTTCAGCTAACCAAATCACACCGGGCTAATGACACCGTGAGGTGAGGCCTGCCTGACCTTTGACCTCTGACCTCAATCGCTGGGGAAGACAGAGGAGAGACACGAAGGGACAAAGATGGCGGAGAGGAGGAAAGACAGTAGAAAGAAATCCCAGCAGATTTTAGCGGCTAAAATAAAATGTAGTGGAAAAACATGGAAAGCTGAAAGTTTCACTGAGCAACCAGGAACCAGAAGGAAACAAAAATGGCTCCCAGCTCAGTGGAAGTGGGTTCGTTTAGTGGGAAGGTGGTTGGGACCTTTGACCTTGGAGAGGTCGACCTCTCCATCAGAGGAGTCCCAGTTAGCAGAGCCAGGATTCCCACTAGTGGGAACCACCAACACTGCTCTTCATCCAACAATCATAAAGGAAATCATAATAATAATTACAGTTATTAACTGAATGAGACGCATTTTAAAGTACGACTTCAAAATATATGAATATTCAAAGAAATATTCCCCCAAACTCTCCTGCTAAATCACATAAATAAGCATTAAAGTGGAAAAATTAAGTGTTGTCTCTTTAAGAAGCTTCTGTTCTTTCTGAAACTCCGCCTCCAGGAAGTCACCAGGGCCTGCTTGTCTGTGGCTCCTGATGCATGTGGCCCCAGTTCAGGTGTTTGAATTCGATAGAAACATTCTAGTTCTTTAAATATTCACAATTAGTGTAAAAGCATCAAAATCAAATCTTCTAAAAATAGAAAATGTTGGTAACAACACCAATTATTTCTTTAAATATCATTACTTGTTGCACTGTTCTGCACCCAGACCTGCTTTGAATTAATTTGCTGAACTTGGCTAAATATAGGAAGTGTTTTTAAAGAACATTATTGTCAGAATAGATCTAATTTTGTTCATTTTTTCCAACAGATGTCTAGAAAATTTGCAACATTTCTTTTAATAAGGCAAAGAGAAATAATTTAGACTTCCCTTTCCAACTACAAAGCTAAATGTGTAATTGTTGTTCAGTCGGACGTATTTAGCTGTGAAGCTAAATACAAACCCAGAGTTCTGGTAATTAATGGTTTGTGATTTAGAAAAAGTGAAATTCATTTTCTAATGTGTCTCTTCCCTTATAGATGGGATGTTTCTCAGCAATAAGTCCTGCCCATACAGTCTGTGTGTGTGTGTGTGTGTGTGTGTGTGTGTGTGTGTGTGTGTGTGTGAGCGTGATGTGGATCCTAATAACATCCCTTGACACTGTTAGAGACATAATTACAGCACACACACACACACACACACACACACACACACACACACACACACACACACACACACACACACACACACACACACACACACACACAGTCAGGTCCAGGTGTGTGTGTCTCTGAGGTTTTGCAGCTGTGGCACCGAGCAACAAATGTCATCACATCCTGAACTCTGTGTGTGTGTGTGTGTGTGTGTGTGTGTGTGTGTGTGTGTGTGTGTGTGTGTGTGTGTGTGTGTGTGTGTGTGTGTGTGTGTGACAGCGACGGGGAGACAACACATTGATGAGATGAGTCTATCGCCGTGGAAACAGCCTGAAGCCAGGTGATTGCGCGGCTGTCTCAGGTCTGTCCTTTCGTCTTTGTGTCTTTGAAGGTTTCCCTCCTTTGTCTCGTCGAGCGACTTTTAAAACTCGCTCGCGTCTCAGGAGGCGAAACGCTGCAGGTGATTTGTCGGCATGCAAAGTGAAGCACGGTGGTGGTGGCATGATGACACGGCTATATAATGAAGTCAGTAAATGTTCAGCAATATTATCGGACACAGACAGACCCATTTTCAGCTCAAGAGTTCTGGTCACTAATATTCCACAGCAGCATAAATCGGGCGACACGGTGAGTAAACGCTCAGGTTAAAAGGTGAAAGTGGAGCCTGTGTATTCAGAGAAATGGAGTGGAAGGTGTGTGTTTCCACCTGTGGTGCAGGTGTCGGCCGTTTCTCACCTCCCCTCTGTGTAGCTGTGGGACGGGCGACCGATAAACGGCTTTTAACACCATTCAGGTTCACTGGAATTCAGAGTGGCACCGATGCAGAAACACTTACTGCGTTTGGCTTAAATACAGACTCAGCAGAGCAAATCGCCTGAGTTCAAGCTGCCCAGAGGTGATAAACAAGATCTCTGGGTTCCTCAGGCCTGCAGCCTGCAGTCTGGGAGAAACAAGCTTCAGCTTGGCACCAAAACACCAGCAGAGGGAAGATATGAACACTTCACTTCCTCTGCTTCAGTCTTTCCTTACATCTTCAAACTGATTCCAGATGGAAGAACAGAAAAAGTTCTGGGTTATCAGAAAATGAAAAATGTCATCCAAACTGATCAGTTAGCTTTCAATAACCACAAACATCACAAGTTATGGGATAAAACTTTCATTTTTCGCTAGAAAAGGAAAAAAGTCCATTAACAGTAATTATTTTAGCTTTTTGTTTAGTTTATTTCAGGCCACTTGGATCAGTTAGGAGTTACTTTTTGTTCAGATGAACAAGCTCAGTGTTGTTTAGCTCAGTTTGTACATGTTAGCTTAGTTTAGCTCCAAGTAGCATAGCTTAGCATAGGTTAGTTTAGTTTTATCTCTTCCTGATTTACATCATCTGATTTTAGTTTTATTTTGGTAATTCTCATATCTGGTATATGAACCAGGCTGTTGTGTTTTGTGGTTTTGTCACCAGTACCTGCTGTGATGTCATCGTCGGTCACGTCCAGCTCCTCCTCTGGAGCCTTGGTTTCCACTGGCTGAGCCTCTGGAGGGGGCGGCTTGAGGCGGGGTCTCTGTTGCTGTTCCAGCTGTGGAAATTGAGCCGACAACCTTTGGTTAGGACATAAAAGCAGCAGGTGTTGTTGCAGGCAGCAGGGCGGCAGCGCTGCCTGCCTGTGTGTGTGTGAGGAAAACCTCATCAGGTTGCCTCATTAAAAGGCTAACTGCTCTGGTTAAGCAGCTAATAAAGGTTTATTGGGCTTCCCTGTTATCCAGAGAATAAATGACAGAATTATCTTCGCATTGCCAATTAAGAGCGGATTTTAATTAGCAGCTGAAGTTAATGAATGATAACGCTCTAATGAACGGAGCGGCTAAAGGTAACAGAGTCAACATCGCTCTAATCCGTGGGGAAACACACACACACACACACACACACACACACACACACACACACTCACAGATAAATGAGCGCAAACACTCCGCTCAACACACTGATTTCTGTTTCCTGCACAAATTTAAGAAAGCAAGGAGGAAAAAGACATCAGTAACTAAAACATCACAAACAATTTCATACTGCTGGCTTCATTAGAGCAATAAAACACTTCTAATTACAGTGTGTGTAATTACACTGATAAATCCTGGTTAACTCAGAGCTTCATGTTCCAATTAACCTGCTGAGACTCTGCAGACAGCTCAGTAACGACACACACACACACTCTGACAGAAGACCAATACGCCGCCTGATTGTTGATTATTCGTCTGGAACATTAAAGTGATAAAAACTTAATTGGACTTAATTAAAACATAACGGATGCTGGGCTGTAGCTGAACAGAAGGAAAACTGTTTCCACCGGGGAAACTCAGCAGAAAGGTCCGATTCTAACGAGGCTCTAATTAACCGGGCAGAACAAGAACATGACTAGATATTCGGCCGTTTTCACACTGATGGTCCGGTAGACTCGGCTCCATTTGGGATCCAACATTTGTTTCATTTTCTGCTGAGTCAAACCAACCAAACTATTTGAAAACCCAGTTCCCCTCCTCGCCTGAGGGGGCGCTGCACCAAGAACCACTGAAGGGAATGACATGAAAAAGACACTGAGCGCATCTTCCTTCTTCACCAAATGGAAACTGAAATGGAGTCGTCAGATTTTTTTGTCAGAAAAACTGGAGCCATTTCTCCCGTCAGCGCTAAGCTAGCATGTCTGTTTTGGTTGTGTTTACCCAGGATGCTTTGCACTATAGTCCACTTCCTGACTAGAGTTCACATTCACACCTCCACAAATGAACTAGAGTTGGATTAAAGTGAATTAAACTGGGCTGGTGGGATTATTTTAAATTGCTAACTTCACACCCAATGTGTCAAAAGCAAACATATTTATTATTTTTTACATGTCAGAAAACATGGACAGTAATGTTCGGGTATTTGGACGCTGGTATTTTTTAAAATATTTTTACAGCTTCGTTTGAAAACATTTTACAGAGAAACATCATGTGAGAATTAAATTAAGCAGTGGTCCAATAATAATTTAATTAATTACTGTTTTCATTCATTTCATGATGTCTCAGATTCAGTTTTTGTTATTTTTACTTAAATTTTCCCAAATCTTTTCCTCCGTAAAGTAACAGCGTTGAGCCTCAAACAGAATCACCTGCAGAAAGACTTTCATGTTTTGTTTTTCTCCTTTTTTTGTTCCAAATGATTTATTTTTCATTTCACAGGGACTGTGAAATGAAAAGGATGTGGGAGCGGAGCGAGCCGCGGGCCCGCTGCGCTTTAAAAACATCAAGAAGTGAATGTTTTAAACAGCAGACAGGAGGAGGAGGTCCAGGAGGTTAACAAGGCATGCTGGGAGCAATGTGTCATGGCTGACATGACAAGCTTGACCTTGGAGCACGCCATCACGCCCCACCCTCCCACTTATCCTGCATCCCTCCTCCGCCTCCCCCCCGTTTCACCCTGATGAAACCGACGCTGCAGCCTGTCCTGAAAAGCTGCAGTTCAAAACTCCAGTTAGCCGTTAGCAAGGAAAACAAACCTTTACTGCCACAGACAGGAACAAACCCAGAATTACTGTTTTGAAATCAACTTCTAAATCACCATGAGTGGTGGTAAACTGAAGCATGGTGGTGGCAGCATCATGCTGTGGGGATAGATGTGGAAGAAAACCAGGCTGGAGATGATGATGTTTGTATGAGAAAGATTAAGTGGAGGAAAAACTGTAAATGTTAATTTACCAACAGTTTTAATTTATGTAGCTAAACGTGATGACAGCAAAAGCTCGTCGTAGCGTTTGCTCACGTTATTAGAAAGGTTTTCAGTTTATGTTAGACGGTGAGGAAACGCCGCCGAGCCGAGGAGCAACGGCGGCAGCGACTTCTCTGGCAGACAGCAGGCAGAGCCCGGCTGACCTTTCAGCTCTCCGGGAGGCGTTTGAAGGGACAGAACACAAAGGACTGTCGGGTCGGTAGGAACCGGCCCGTTAGCGGCGCCTGCAACATGGCGGCCGTGGCTAATTAGCCACAGCAGGCTGGAAGCACGAAGAGGCGGCTAATCGAACAGAACCGCTGCTTGATCCGGAGCGCTGAGCGTAACCTGGAAGCTGCAGCACAGATGCTGCAGAAAATAATACAAGCAGCAGAGGAGGAGTCCAGGCTGCAGGGTCAAAGGTCACTCACACAGGAAGACATTGACGGGCACCCAGAGACCCTTACATTCATGTCCATCCTATGAACAAAACTCCCAAGAGGCGACTGGCCTGTGAGGACGAATCAGGAGCCAAACTGAGAAAAACTTCATCAACCAGAAACCACTTCCTTTTCTGCAGCTGCTGCAGCGCCACCCGGGCTCCGCTGGACACATGAAGGAACTGCAAGTGGATGAACTAAATCTAGAACTAAATGAACTAAAACTAGAACTAAATGAACGAGAACTAAATGAGTGATTAGAACTAGAACAGATAGAAGTTTGGTCTGAAAAATGTCTTTTTCTTTCTGTATGTAAATTTCTGGTTTCAGCTGTAAAAGTTTCATTGATTCATGTTGGGTTCTGTATTGGGCCAACTGGACCCGTTTCTCATCTCAAATTCAACTGAATGATCAAAACATTTTATAAAACCTCCTGACCAGAACCAGACCCAGACCAGAACCAGAACCACCCAGAACCAGAACCAGAACCAGAACCAGAACCAGACTGCTGCAGTGGTTCTGTATCCCTCCGGTCAACCTGGATACTTTTGGACCTCTCCAGAGCCCTCCATGACCTCTAGAACCCTCGGACGTCTCCAGAACCCTCCGGACGTCTCCAGAACCCTCCGGACCTCTCCAGAACGCTCCGGACCGCTCCAGAACCCTCCGGACCTCTCCAGAACGCTCCGGACCGCTCCAGAACGCTCCAGAACGCTCCGGACCTCTCCAGAACCCTCCGGACCGCTCCAGAACCCTCCGGACCGCTCCAGAACCCTCCGGACCTCTCCAGAACCCTCCATCCCCTCTAGAACGCTCCGGACCTCTCCAGAACGCCGGACCGCTCCAGAACCCTCCGGACCGCTCCAGAACCCTCCGGACCGCTCCAGAACCCTCCGGACCTCTCCAGAACGCTCCGGACCTCTCCAGAACCCTCCGGACCGCTCCAGAACCCTGCTGGGATTTTTCCGGGTCTCCACCGGCAGCCGGAGTCGTCTTACGGCCCGGCCTGCTCCGGGGATCGGATTCGGTGACCCTTTGACCTCTCTCCATCTCCATCGCCCTCCCCCCCCCCCTGCGGTCCTGCTGCGGTAACACAACACTGACCGGTGCCCGTTGCTACGGCAACCGTTCCCCGAGAGACTCCCAGCATCCTCTGCAACCGCGGCTCCTGCGCTCAGACGAATGCAGCATTTCAGGAGGCGGCTTCTAGTAAAGCAAGGTGCAGATTCACCTTTCTTCCCATCAGCAGGTCTAACTATAGCCAGCGGAGCGACGCCAGGGAACAGAGCGACGGCCGCTTCCTGCGCCGCAGCAGCCAATCAGCAGCAGGGAGGCAGCGACATCATCAGAAACACGAGACAAGCAGCAGAAATTCAACTGCGTGGTGGCGACGAATTCACCTTTATACTGCTGTCCACCGTGACTTTAAATTGTTTTTTATGTCTGATTGATTCATAGAAACCAAATAAAGCTTCATCTGAGGAAGGTCAGAACCCAGACCGGGTCAGAACCAGAACCGCATCATTAAACCTTCATCGGGGTTTGACATGTCCACTAAAAAATCCACTGGAGGATACAGATTTATACTTCACATCCAGCTGTCACAGCTCTCCGTCCTTCTGACACAGTTTGTAAAAAATAAACAACAATAAATTCACAGAACATCTATCTAAAAGAGCTTTTATTTTGAAAACCGAGGAACAAAAGTAGCCAAAACCAAGATGGAGGACAGAAAATCAGTGTCTCCAGAACCTGAGCTGTCGCCCTGTAAAACCTTCGTCCTCCTAAAGTCAGGATGAGACTTACGGGAGCTGACCGTGTCCACGTACTGGGGCAGGTACGGAGCCCAGGCATCGATGGTGTCCTTCCGACCGGACTGCCCGATCCGCCTCAGCTCGGCCAGGAGCAGAGCCTGCGCCGCTTCCCGGACCTAAACAAATGAAACGGGTCAGAACAATATTCAATCATCCACACAAAGAATGGATGTGAAGGAACCAAATAAATATGGGAAATGGTATTTTCTATCGCGGCAACCTTTCCTAACATTGTTCATGTTCACCATCGTAACTTTATGGTAGTATGAGATTGCAGGCAGCTTGTCTGACACATTATTTATCTCATACGGGTCGATCCCAGCAGCAGCCATTTGGTTGATGTACATTTTTCTGGCACATTGGTCCAGAGTGTTTGTCTTTCTTTTCGTGGATCTTGAAGCCATGGTTCATCCATGCTTTACCTACCAAGATGGCGGCGGATCACTTTAAGTTCAGACTTGTGGGAACAAAGTATTCCAGAATCAAACTGGGTTGTCAACATGGCAATCGTCCCAAACATAACAGCAAATCTTTAACAGAATGACTGAGTGAGAAGTGAATTGATGCTCCAGTCAAAGGCCAGACTCCCTGTTTCAGGAAGCCATGCAGCTCTCTGCGTACCTCCAGACATCGGTCCTGCCATCTTCTCGCCAGCATCTCCAGCAGAGGCGGTCTGTACTTGTCCAGGCCGAGGAGGTCCGGCAGCATCACGCAGTGCATGGCGGCCAGCTGGCTCCACCCTGCACACAAAGACGCCAAAGATCAGCAAAATCCACCCAACCCAGGCTCAGACGTGCCGATCTACAAGCGTCACTGCTGCCACATGAAAACGCCGCTTCGCCATCGTTTAGCAGCGACAGATCCCAGATGAAATGGATCAATGTTTCTCAAACTTTTTCAGGCTCAGGATCCTTTAACCACAGGTGTTAAACTCCGGTCCTGCAGGGCCGCTGTGCTGCAGGCTTTAGATGAGCCACAGGCACAAAACACTGGAATGAAACGGCTTCATTACCTCCTCCCTGTGTGGATCAGTTCTCCAGAGCCTTAATCACCTAATTATTCAGATGTGGCGCAGCAGAGCCACATCGAAAGGTCGCAGGACAGCGACACTACAGGGCTGGAGTTTGACTCCCTGACTTTAGCCATTTAGCAAAAACACGCAGATCACCTCACTCAAAATTAGCTGGTCTGTAACACAAACACGAATGAAAATATTCACCTCTTAATGCAGTTATTGTTGTTTTTAGGCTGGTTGTCAAAACCAGAAACATGTCTATTCAGGGCATTTTTAGTTATTTACAGATTCTGAAAGTAGTTGCTCTTTACTACCAAGTGTGTGCATTAATAACATTTAGAGATATTTGTAATTAAGAAGCACAATAAAGGAAAATAGACTGGAGTTGAGTCTGCACCATTAAATATGAAATTATCCATCAATTTCAAATGGTTGTATTTAATTATGTTAACCATTTTAAATAAATAGGTGTTGATGTGTGGCCAGAGCATTGTAAGCAAAAAGTTGTAAAAATGAAAGCACAGTTCTCACTAACTGAGACTCAAAAGAATCGATCAATGGTGAACGATTCATTAAACTCTCAGCAGGTATGATTTAGTTTCCTCCGATTATATTATCAATCCTGGCATTGTTTTCTTTACACCGGTATCATCAGATCTCCCATTTACCCATTATTGTTTTAACAGTCCTTTGGTAAGCTAGCTGTGTGGGTCGCAGTTCGCACTAACGTCACGGCAAATAAATACCACTAGGGGGCGTCCGGGAGCACAGTTTGAGAAAGCCTGGTTTAGAGTTTTAATATAACAGCAGTGACACACACACACACACACACACACACCACACACACACACACACACACACACACACACACACACACACACACACACACACACACACACACACACAGTCTTCACATGACTTCAGTCGTCTCAGTTAGAACAAACTCATCATTTCTGCTCACCACAGTGTCTGATGGCGTTAAAACAGCTCAACAACAACAGAGATACATCAGCGTGAGGTAAACCACACACCATACTTTGGTTCAAACAAATGAATTTAAATTTACAGATGTGAAACAACGAGAAAACCCGGAAGGTTTTCTGAAGAAACGACACACAGATGTGACCCAGTTAACGGACGAAAGAAAACATTTAAAAATGTCTCTGCGTCGCCTCACATCAGGCTGCGTCGGTCTGAGACAAAAACATTCATATTTTAGACCAAAATATGCACCAAGCTTTCCATCCAGGGGACGGGAACAGACTAAAACATCCGTCGATGCTTCACCTGGTCCACATATATCAGCTCAATATATGGCTTCCACTACGTGTGAGGGATGGAGGGAAGATGGCTTTAAAGCAGGAAAGAATTTCAGGGAAAATTTCTTTACCAGTTTCCATCTTTGAACTTACCTTTTCCAACGAGACAAACAGAGAAAACTAGAAATATTAGAACAGTTCTGAGAAAAATCCAGGGCCAAAATGCCACAACCCAACAAATTTACTTTTCATGCAAATGAATTGAAAATAAAACTTTAATAAATACACTAAATAACTTAAATACTTTAAAGACACAAAACTATAAGGTAAAAATCTTTTATATTACATATTTCTTTTGTCCACCCTAAAATAATTTTAATTGAAAACAATAATTTACCTAAATTTAAATGTATGCTTTCCGTATTATTAATGTATTTTATAAATTATTGAAACATAAAAGTAATTTTATATGCATTCTGTTATTAACAGTATTTTATTAGTGATATGTATAAATTATTTTTATTTGTTGACCTTTTTGTTTATTGAATCGTGGCACTTTTGGCTCTTAGCAGTGAGATTTAACTGATTTATTCTCAATTTAATCCAAAGATAAAATATAAAATACGGTGAAAGTTTCAGGTATATTTTCATTTTTCCAAATCAAACTTTAAGAAATTTTGCTTAAAAAATAACGATGAGTAAATCCAGCATTAAGTTGCAAGAAGCAACAATTATAATGTTATTTTATTTTAATATGTTGGGATTTAAAATCAGAAGAAATGAATCAGTCAATCTATAATTAACCAGTTTCACTGTCCTGCAGAAACTTTACATGTTTTCTTCTATTTCAAGCAGAAAAAGAGACTAAAACTCAGGAAAATACAAACTAATTTTGTCTAAATATATCATTACCAATAGATATTTCTTAATATATCTTACTTTTTATATTAGACAAAAATAATTCCAAAAAAATGTAGTCACAATAATGTTAATTTTATTAATTTAATAGTTTCAACATAAGTCCAACAATTTCTCTAATTTATTCCCACACAATAAGATGATAAAGTTTATGTTTTCTGCAGGGCAGCGGCCATTTTCTCGTTATACTGTGGTGGATGTTAAACGCTTCAGAAATAGTTTTAGGTACAAGCAAAGAATGAGTCTGTGAGCATGCTTGCTGTTCCCATGACCAATAAATATTCTGACAAACTCGGCTTTTGCCACGCTAGCTGGAAATTAAAGTTCAACAAGCTTGGAAAAGGCACTTCAAGGCCCCAGATGCAAACAACAAGCGTTTAAGAAATATGCAAGCACATTCCTAGTGTAAATAAAAGGGCTCAATGATAAAACCAACATCCTGTAGGAACACTGGGAAGAAAAGGATGAGTTTGACATCAGGTTAAAAGTGTTTGCACCAAAGTTCATTTAGAGTCAAACCTGAAAAAATTAAATAAAAGCATCAGTTATCATTCAGCCTTTCACCAGTTTCAAACAAAATACAGTCTCAGATGAGCTGCTGGTGAAAATGACGGCGCTGCTGAGCCCTGCTGAACTTTATTTCTTACATTTTAGGCTCAGATTGTGTTGCAGTTTTAATGGCGACCCATTCCCCTCTTCTAGCTAAAGACATGACTGAAATAGCAAGCATACAAACAGCACAGAGAGACTGAAACATCAGGACTGAAAGAAAAGACAAGGAGGGACTCCACAACACTGCAAACAAGAAGACAAACAGCAAGATGTCAGGACAGCAGCAGTCAGTGCGCTCTCAAACCCACCAGCGCTGCCCTACATGCATTTCTATCTGAAAAGTCAAACTGTTGGCTGATGACATTCTGCTTGTTTCCAAATTTAGAAAACACAAGTTACAGGTTCATAAAACGCAGATTTAAAGTATTTCTAAACTGATGTGATTAGATAGTAATAAATAAACTCTTCCTACGATTCTGTTACATTTCCAGTGTAGTTTGTCAACTGTGCAAAAGTCTTGGGTCATGAGTATATTTGGGTGGTAACTAACTACATTTAATCAATTACACTTACTTGAGTAGGGATTTTGAAATAAAAATACTTTTAAGAGTGTTATTACATTTTTCTCTTGAGTAAAATTTCAAACTGCAATGGAAACACTTGATCAACAACCGGATGTTAGCACGATGAAGACAACGATAGAAAGAGGTATGACGATGATTTTGTAATGTCTAGTTTGAACAATCTTATTTGTGATTTAAATTTATTTCTTTTTTAATGGAAACAAAGCAATAGCAAAAGTAACAATTTTCTTTACATTAATGGAATATAATCAAAGTAATGGAAACAGTCAGAAAATTATGGGTTTGCTTGACGTTAATCCATTCAATGACAGTATTAATTTTAGTGTAAAATATCCTGCATGATGATATAAATGGAAAAGTAAAGAATTCATCCTTTAGATTTTAATACTGACTGGTTAAACATTTAGATTAAAATCTTTTAACAAAAGGATGAAAGACTCAAGACTTTTGCACAAAATTTTATACTTCAGAAATCCAAACAGGCCTGGTTCAGAAAGTGACATGAAATTCCCCGAAGTGTTTTGAAGCATCCGAGTTTTAAAACTGCAGCGTGACTGATCTGAGAGCGAACTGAGACCAACAGAGACATGAAGACATTTTCAACCCAAAACAAGGACAAAGACTGGAGCTATAGACCTGAGGTGAAGAGCAGACACTGTGGGGGAAACAAGACTGATGCAAGAAAGGAGAAACAAGGTAGGCAGATTGGAAAGGAACAGAGAAGAAGAGCGAGGAAGCAAAGACGTATGAAGCACAGAGAGGAAACCCAACGGAGAGGAGAGGCAGAGGGAATGGAGGCTTTCTGCAGAAAGCATGGATACAGCTGCAAACTTTCCCTAAGCGGCACCCGTCACATCAGTCTGTACCTTCGTTGACTGAGGGGATGTTATGAGAGCCAGGGGCCCCCTGAGGGTGTCCCCCAGGGGCCCAGGCAGCGGCAGCAGCAGTGCTGGCAGCTTGGAAAGGAAGACAGGGAGAGAAAATAGTCGAGAAGAAAAGAAAAAGGTTAGAAATATGACAGAAAAGCTGCCAGAGGAGGAAGGAAGTCAGGAAAACAAAACAGGAAGTGAATTAAAATCGACATTCAGACAGACAGGAAGTACAGGAAGCTATTAGCTTCAGTTAGCTATTAGCTTCAGTTAGCTATTAGCTTCAGTTAGCTATTAGCTTCAGTTAGTAATGTAACCCAATATTTGCTGATTTTCCACCAGTCCAGCTGGGTTTCTAAGCTCTTGGCTAGCTTTTATTAAAAATCTGCTAATCATAATCAATATTTACAGCATAAAGGTAAAACTAAACACTTCACTCACTAAAAACCAGTTATTAGTGTTTAAACTGCAACTAAAACAAGATGGCTGCTGCTGCCCCCTGCTTCCAACAGGAAACAGTCATCTGAAATATATATTTAGTTTCTGAGTTTATTAATAAAACTTGAGCTAAAACAAAAAGTTTGTAAATAATCTAATTACTCCTGGGTCAAATTGCTGAAATTTTAATGAATAGAAAATGTAATTTTCTGCTTGTTAAACCATAAATTAACAAATTTTAAGATTTATTTAGTTCTGTTTCAAAGTGGGCAAATAGTTTTTCATGGCACTATTCATTCATAAAAAAAGCAAAAATAAATGTATTATTTATTCTGGTAAATGTGTGTTTATCCGTTTAAATGGGAGAACTTGATAGGTTATAATACTCTGTAAAATGTCTGATATTTGTTTACATGTTGGTCTAAAGATATGAGTAAAAGTCAAAGTGGGGAGAAAAAAAATCACTCATCAACATTGTAGCATCATGTTTTAGCTCAGATAATTGGACTCTGGTAAAATGTTTTGGTTCTGATCTGTGCAGGAAACCAGGAGCTAAAGTGCAGAAAATCTCCCCATTGTTCCCATTGAGGAAAAGCGGGACGGGACTGGGACTGTGTGTGTTCCTGCTGCAGTACATCAGAGGGGCCTCCTGGCTCTATTTCCATGTGAAAGGAGCCGCAGCGCGGGGGCAGCGGGTCGGGCCGGGCCGGGCCGGGCCGAGCCTCAATAGGCGTGTGGTATGAATAAGTCCGCACGCTTGTCATGCTTGGCCTCAATTAAGGCGGGACAATAGCAGGGAAGCCCCGCCTCCACAGCGTCCAGGGGTGTGTGTGTGTGTGTGTGTGTGTGTGTGTGTGTGTGTGTGTGTGTGTGTGTGTGTGTGTGTGTGTGTGAGGAGTGGGCAGATGGTGGCAGCTGGTTAAAACCTCCCCTACAGTGAGGCGCAGCAGCTTCACCTTCCTGCTTCATCTGCAGCCACAACGTTTCGTTTAATCGGCCGAAATGAATTAAAAACGTTTCATTTGTCTGAATAAACGGCCTAAACAAAGCCCAGGTCAGGGGGAGCGAAGAATGTTTTCAGGCTGTGTGGGTTAGATGTGAGCAGTTAGTATCCAACCTGGTTCACTTTCATCCCTTCATACGTTCATTTCACCACCATGAACAGGCAGCTTGGTACCTGCAGACTCATCATTATTCCACCTCGTCTCACTTTTACATTGGTTCTGATCCAGTCGGACCAGGTGACCACTTTTAAAATACTTAAATTGGTTGGTTTGGTTTAGTTGGAAAATTTGCCAAAATTTGCTTCCAGCCTCCAGTAAATGTATTTATGCCTTTTTTCTCAGTTTAATGTTTTTCTTGGTTGGAAAACCTTCAAAAGACAAAAAAGTTGGTTGTTCTTTAAAATAACATTTACTTTAGTAGATATTTTACCCAAAAATCTGTCATGTAACTTTAGCTGCACTGGGTCTTAATTAGCTGGACTGCAGTTTTCAGTTGACATGGAACCAAAAGAAAAACATTTAAACGCTATGAAAACGTCTTGGTTCCTGATTTCTACTCCACAGGCAGGTAAAATACATGAACGACTTATTTTGTGGTGATGGGTCATGAAACCATTAGAGCAATTGACCCGCTAGAACTTCATTCGATGATTTTCACCAAAGTGGCAAAAGGTCGGAGCACCTCTGGTCTAGAGGGCCGCTATGGACGCCCAGGTGGGCCGGATTTGGCCCTCGAACCTTGAATATGACACGTCTCTGCGGGGTTAACCGCCGGTGGGCTGCATTATAAACCCCACCCGCCCCTCGCCTGGCAGGGCCTCAGGGGCGACCTCAGCAAGCGCCCCCTCCTTTTGTAGTTACCTTGTTTGATCTGGGCCTGTAGCGCCGGGTTGGAGGGCTGGGGGGCGGCGGCGGGCGTCCTCCGAGGAGACTCCGGGGTTCCTCCTGGTCTGGGGGGTCTGGGGGGGGCAACAAAGAGGAGCCATCAAATATTAACGAGGCGGGGGGCAGAGACAGGAAAACAAGCCCATCCACAGCAAACAGCAAGAGGGAGGTCTCACTCTGACTCATTCTGCTCTCCTCGAGCTCGCTTCAGGTGTGTGTGTGTGTGTGTGTGTGTGTGTGTGTGTGTGTGTGTGTGTGTGTGTGTGTGTGTGTGTGTGTGTGTGTGTGTGTGTTGGGCTCCAGCCTATTGAATTTTGGGTGCAGTCCTCCCTGAACAGACTGGAGGCGCCGAACTTTCACAGAGACACAAACACTTCCAATACAAGGATCGATGGCACAGTCGGTTGCTAGGCCACAGATCACTGCCAGCGAGAGGAAGAAGAAGAAGAAGAAGAAGAAGAAGAAGAAGAAACGCAGAAACTTCAGAGACGGGACAGAAACAACGGTCTGGGACGGCCCTCCAAAGGTTAAAGGTCACGCTGCAACTCCTACTCACAAACCAGACGTCTGGTTATAACTGACAGGTCCTCAGCTTTGACTAGGCTGTTCTAACCCAGGATGAATTTGCGTGGATCTAAACCATTGGTGTCCAACCTGTGGCTCCCGGGCCGCAGGCGGCTCTTTGGACCTTCCACATCGGATCAGTTAATATTTTAAATTCAGCTGGGAAAATAACAAATGTAAGTTTTAACAGTTTTCCATAGAATAAACGTCACTGGATAAAAGTGACGTTTATTTTAACTTTTTTTAATTTCTCATCAGTTGGAAAACTTGCCAAAATTTTCCATCACCTAAAGATTAAAATTTACGTTTCTTCTTTTTCAGTAATGTTTAATGTTTTTTTTCATATAAGAACCTTACAAAAAAAATGTTGGGTATTTAAAAATAACTTTAATTTTAGTGGATATTTTTCCACACGTTGTGTTTTGTTAAAGGGAAATGTAACATCAGAGGCTTTTATTTAACTGGACTAAAGCCAAAAAGCACAACTTTGAAATCCCAAAAAGAAGCAGATTTTGTTGAAATGAGGAAAGTTTAAGCTCTATGAATGCTTCCTTCAGGCCTGCCAGGCTCCAGACTTCGGATGCGTTTAGTTTTCCTCACACAGATCTGTGGAAATAAGCTGAAAGTTTCCACCTTCCTGTGAAGTCTCTTCCTCTGCAGCGGCTCCCGCCTTATAAAAGTCAAAGAGGAATCTTCACTTCCAACACTCCAAACAGGCACTGGTGAATATTTGACCGTGTTTGGCTTTTTGGCTTTTTCATGTTCCCCATTTCAGATTGATGAGGCTCCTGTCTGTGTGTTCGACAGGGTTTTAGTATTTCATCATCACCTGAAGCTTTGCTTGGCTACAACTCGCCGCCTCCGTCTTCTCCAGATAATGATCAACAGCAGCTCTGAGCCGCCCGACGTCGGCTGCTTCCGGGAGGCTGAAACGTTTCACTGGCAGTCGGTAATGACAACATAGTCAAAGTTTGCCCAATTAACAAGGAGCACGAGTTGAAATGTTGAGCGTTAATTTCAGTGAAGAACGTCTTCGGGAGCTGCTTCTGATCAGACCCCAACACATCAACGCTTTGCTAACAGCCTGAAGGACAAACTGGCCTGAAGGACAAACTGGCCTGAAGGACAAACTGGCCGTCGTCCACGATGCAGGGAACCAGCGACAGACCAAGAAGAAGAAAGTTGAAGAATGAAGTTGATGAAGAAAGAAGACTGGAAAGTTAGATCCCAAACTGGACAGTAGATCCCAGTAGATCCCAGTCTGGCTGATCCATTCTCTGCTCACTGAGTTTCAGGATTCGGCTGGTTGATGAAATGTTGTGATGCTGTTGGAGCAGCGAGATTGCAGCGTCGCTCTTAAATCTTTCACAGCTCAGAACAATCAGCTCTCACGCACACGCACACACGCACGGACGGACACACACACACACACACACACACACACACACACACACACACACACACACACACACACACACACACACACACACACACAGGGTTTATTGTCTGTGTGAAAAATGTGAGGCTGTTCTTTCAGTCCAGCTCGTTTGGACTCCTGCATCAGGAGTTTGTTTGTTAGTTTTTGTTGAACATGATGGTGTTTCTGGGTAAAGTTTGGTGGAAGGCTGACTACCTGGCCGGGGCTTTCTTCATGTGCTCGCCTACGAAGGTGGCGTTGGTCATGCCCATCAGCGTGTTGGCCAGAGAAATGGCCGACAGCAGGTGCTGCGTGGTCACGGCCCGGGACACGCCGTACGTCCCCTTCCCCACGATGTCGGACAGACTCAGCTTCAGGCCGGTGGCCAGCGACAGCTGGCGCAGCAAAGACTCCTGGGAAATACAGGGAAACTTTTATCTGTTTACAACAAACAAAGGATGTCAGAAAGGAATCCTAAACCATAATTATCTTTAAAAAATATTGGAGGATTAGTGGATGGATGGTTAAATGCTTGGATGGACAGACAGACGGATGGACAGACGGTTGGACGGTCGGTCCAGGTGCGGTCCTACCTTGAAGGTGGGCAGCATGAGGGACATGTGTCCTCCCCGGGAGATCAGGCCGAAGGAGATGGGGCAGTGCGGTCTGAGCATGCCCAGTCGCTCCAGGCAGATGCCGTCCAGCTGCTCGTTGAGGCCCCAGGCGTGCAGGCAGGACATGAACAGCTTGGCCGTGTCCATGGTCAGGTTGTACTCCAGCAGACTCAGAGACTTGGACTTCTCCTCGCGCCTCCTCATCTCCTCTTCCTCCTCCTCGTCTTCGTCCAGCAGGTGCTCTTTGATCGTCTCCTTCATCGTCTCCTTCACCTGGAGACAGCAGAGGTTCGTCGGCAGAGAGTAGGACTGACAGGCTGCAGCCCCGATGCGTTCAGGAACCTCGGACCCCCGCGGGTCGTCCACGCACCTGTTTGAAGATTTTGTTGGCCAGGAAGGAGCCGCCCTTGTCGGCGCCCGCCTGGCTCTTCTGCAGCGTCTCGGGGGAGACCAGCGTCGGGTTCGGACGCTGCGCCTCCTCCGTCAGCAGCTGGATGATCAGCGCCTCCACGTCAAAGAACAGAACGTGCATGTCGGGGTCCGTCAGGTTGGTCTTCATCGCCTGGACCACCAGGGCATTGTGGGAGTATTTGGGCAAATTACCCTGAAGGAGGAAGGAAGAAAACTTAAAACTTAGCAAACTGGAGCGTTTCAGTCAGAGCAATTTTTAAACTCATTTGATCAGGTTCCATCTGTAGTAAACTCTGACATTAGCATATTTGTGGCCTGCCATTGTAAATATGCTAATTATAGCCCACATTTTAATTTAAGCAAACATTAGCATTTTTGCTCATTTCAGTTTATACGCTGCTGTGTGTAAATGGATGGAGTGTGTCACTGCAGGCCAACATGCTGACTAACATCTGGATTAACCAGCTGAGCATCTGCAGGATATTCTGGCTAATAATGAACATGTGAAGCTTTGCTGCTGGTGTGAGTCTTCAGTTTGCCTCAGCGCTTCATATTTGCACCAGTTTTTAGCTTCGTAGAAACAGATTCAATAACAGCAAAGATTCTCCCAGAGTAACAACACAGAATGGATGCTGGTTTTAGTTCAATTATATTTTAGTTATTTAACAGAACTGTAAGCTGGTAAACGTGCTGCCACCCTGAATTTGTTTCCAGATTAAAGTCAGAGTGTTTGCTGTGGATGAACTCTCAGATTCACTCACATTACCAACATTTTCCTTCTTTTACTAACATGTTTGTGCCTCAGCCTCATTTTCTGTCAGAACTCTGGTGGAGAAACAGTGCCATCTACAGGCAGAAGGCCACATTACAACCAGCATGTTCTGCAGATCACAAAAACATTCATAACATTTCTGAAAAAACAAAGTTTGATATTTTTGGAAAGTAGAAGGATATGAAGAAATTTCCAAATTGAGGCGAATTAGGAGGATTTAATCTGTAAACATCAACATTAAGTTTATTTTAAACTGATTTTTATTGCAGCAGCTCGTCTGAAGTGAGTTTAAATCAAATGGAAAGGTGGAAGAGCTGCTCTCAGGCCGAGGCTGACTTATTCTAGCTGCCGGGAAGTTGATCTAAAGGTCATCGTCCTGCAGGGCCCTTCAGGCAAACGGCGCACACACACACACCCACACACACACACACACACACACACACACACCACACACACACACACACACACACACACACACACACACACACACACACACACACACACGCTCAGTACAGACCTCACAAAGGAAGCTCATGCTGTAAACTGCTGACCTGCCCGGTTTTCTCTCCAGTTTAAACTTAAATGAGAAAATGAAAAGTCCCAGTGATCAGCTGACTGACAGGCTGCAGCCCGATGCGTTCAGGAACCGTTCCAACGGTGGGGAAATCTGATTTAAATCAGTCCAATTTTTCATCAGAGCACCAGAACCACTAACATGTAAACATTAAGAGTCCATTGTTCTGGCCTTGAATTCAGACATTATTCTGGTTTTTATCCATTTCTGTTCTTTTTTTAAATCAAAATTTTTAAAATTCACAAGAATTTTTATTGATTTCAAAGTAGTTGAATGAATAATTTACTGACTTTAAATCAGACTACATTGTTACACTTTAGGGTATTTATGATTGCCTTAATTATTTATTTTGGATTTTCCTTGATTTAAAGTTAGAAGTTCATGTACACTGAGATTGCCAGACCTTTAACAAACTGCGAATACTTTGTGAGTTTCTGATCATTCACAAAATCCGTAAACAGAATACAACTGGATTTAAAGGCAACACTTATCTGAAGATTTAAAAGTTTGTATGATGTGAACAGATTCACTAATTAAGTAACGGAAAGATGATAAAGTAATAAATAGGAGGGAGCCGAGTTCTGAGCCCTGGGGAACACCAGAGGAAACAGACGAATGTTGGGAAGAATAGGATTTACTGAGGACAGCTAACAGATGAGAGTAGCTAAAAGTTACTGATTAGCTGTAAGCAGGAGATCATTTGTGGTTTTTATTGGAGCGTTTCAGTGATTTGCGCCAAATATGGAGTGAAAATAAAGCGTCTGTTCCTGTTTCTGCCGGCGCCGTCGACCCGTGAGGACAAAGTGAAAGTCACAGCCAGAGCTCAAAACAAGAGCTGAGCAGAAATCAAACACCAGCCGGCTGGAATCGCTTCGGCTTCACCGCCTGATATTTACGGTCATTATCCTTCATTACCCACAGTGGGGGATAAACACACACACACACACACACACACACACACACACACACACACACCACACACACACACAACACACACACACACACACACACACACACACTGGGGATAATGGCTGGTTCTGAGTTGATATGAGGAAGGAGGCAGAAAAGGGCGATGAGCGTCAAATGGAGGGAGGATTGCAGGTTTCTGGGTTTTCAGCTGTGATTACGGCGGAACAACAACATGAAGGTTAGGCGAAGAAACGTCTGATCCACTTCCTGAGGGAACCAGTAAAAGTCAAACAGCAGCTCAACTAAACGCTCTTCACAACACTAAATAATTCATGGCGCTTGTTTTCCGCTCTGGGATCCCCCGTGTGGGCGGAGTGGCCTCTGTCAGGACAGGTCAGACCCGCCGAGTTTGACGGAGAAACTTCAGATCTGAAAACAGCTGGAAACACCGAACAGGCGAGAGAGAAAGAAGACCAACAGAACCGGAACCAGGAGATCTGGTTCTGGTATCTGATAGGCCAGGTTGATACACAGACCAGAACCGCCAAACCAGAATGAATTTGATCGCTGGTGATGCATCAGGACAGACCAGAGGGTCTTGGGCCCACGCGCCCCCCGGTCCCCCCACGCTCCCCCACCGGGCTGGTTGGTGACATCACCAGGCGTTACCTTGTGGCGTGTCAGCAGCCAGCAGGTTGGTTGCCAGCGTCTGCAGTTTGTGCTGCGCCATGTTCTTGAGCGCCGCCAGGCTGCGGGCGCGTCATGGCCTGCTTCAGGTTGACGCGCGGAGTGGCTCAGGGCGTCGACGGTGGCGGGGGCGAGCTCGTCGCAGGCGTTCAGGATCTCCACCGCCGTGATTCCCATCACGCAGCGATCCAGAGCTCCTGGAAGCACAAACAGGAAGTTCAGGGAGAGCTGCTGATTTAAATCCCTAACAGATAACAGGAAGGCCTGGCTGCCTGAAACCAGATGGACAGATTTATCTTTCTACCAAAAACTGGATGATAAAACTAAGAGTAAAGTCATGAAATTGAGATACAGATAATTTTAGGTTTAACACATAATTATCTAGTGCAACATATTAAATCACTAAACTTCCTTTATCAGTCCATTATATATTTTGGTTCCTATCAACAGTAGTAATAATATTGTGCAGGTCAAACCAGCAGATCTTTCAGCTCCTTTGGTGTAACTCGGTATTTTCCATCTCTGGCTGCATGCAGAGATGTTTATGGAAACATCATCACAGCAGCGTTCTGCAGTCAGTCACTGAATCAGGTATTGAACGAGTGTTTATGTGATGAAGGAGCCGTCAGCCGCGCCCCCATTACCTGTCCAACGCCTCACCACTTCCACACCTCCTTTAATTCACACTTAGCTACCCTGCAGCCGCCCAGCAGAGCAGCAGCTCATCAGGCTGATGTTTCTCCAGTCCGACCGACCCAGATCCCCAGCCTGCATCCACCACAGCTGAGCCAGAGACCAGGACTCATAATGTATGAGAAAAACATCTGAACACAGCAGTGAACGGCTCGGCGGTGAACGGCTCGGCGGTGAACGGCTCGGCGGTGAACGGCTCAGCAGGCCCCAGAACCAGACTGGAGCAGCTGTGGTCCAGTAGTTACAGAAATTATTCCCCCATGAACGTTTTCACAAAATGAAAAATCAGCAACATTTGGCTTTTTGACCCAACAAAAAAGACTTTAATATTGAAGAGAAAACTGATACAAAATACTGGCAAAAATATTTAAAATAAGTGAAATTCTCGCATTATGATGATTTATTATGACATTCTCATAACCTTACAAACACTATGTGTAATGTTAGAAATAATTTATTCTCATATTATGACTTTACTCTCAAATAGTTACAACTTCATTCTCTGCTTATTGCCACTCAGTTTTCTAATTAACCAGCGAATCTCAACCTGATGATTCTGAGACGTTTTATTCTTGAGTTGTTTTTAAACTGACGCCCCGATGGCCCAGATTCTCCCGGTCGGGTCTCACCTGTATCATCTGCCAGACGTAGACGGAGCCGTCGGAGCATCCCACCACCAGGTAGTCGTCGGCCGGACGCCACTTGATGACCTGGATGGGGAAGAGGTGCCGGGACGCCAGCATGATGCACTTCCTCTCCCGCAGGCTGAGCAGGCCGACGGAGTGGTCGCTGGCCACGGAGCAAACGCAGTGCTGCACGCGGGTCTGCAGGGAGGAAAACGTACCCGTCTGAGCTCAAACCGCGACTGAACAGAGGCTAGCAGAGATCCCCGTCAGAATAAATGATTCATAGGCAGAGAACCTGGAGAATGTGTCACATTTTGACACGATTAATCGATTAATCATCAGAATAATCGATTAATCGTCAGAATAATCGATAGCTAAACGAGTCGTTGGCTGCAGACTAGTTGGTGGTAACACATGGAGACAGACAGGAGGACGGCTGACAAAGACGTCTCCGTCTTACGCTGCAGTTTTCCGGCGGGACGATCAGCTGGCTGATTTCCCCTCCATGGACGCAGAAGATGTGCTTCATCTCTCCGGTGAAAATGTCCCAGACGATGACGGAGAAGTCCACTCCTCCGGACACCAGGGAGCGCTGGTCGTAGCGGGGCGACACCTGGTACGGGTAGAGGACGCAGGTCACCTTGTTCCGGTGACCCCGCAGCGTCCGGTGGGGCGGCCAGCCTGCAGGACGGAAACCAGCCGAGAGGCAACGGAGGGAGAGGAAGCAAACACAAATCACCACATAAAACTTTCACTAAATTAAATGACTGTTTTTGCATTGCTTTGGTGTGGAACGCTTTAAATCAAGGGGTGTTCAAATGTGTTGTGGCGGCCATTTTAATCATTTCATTCAGACTGAAGGTACAGAAACATGTCCATGTGTTTCACGATAGTAAACCATCATCATCCTCACCCCTGCGCAGCATGTGCTCCCCCTGCAGCAGCTGCACGATGGCCGTCTGCGTGGCGGGGACCAGGACGATGCTGCCGTCCTCCCGGCCGCACACCAGCCGGCCCTGAGACGGGATGTAGACGCTGGCCGTAACCTGGGCAACAAAACGGCAAAACGTGACCCAACCAAACAGAAACAAGCAGGTTTTCATTCTGCTTCTGTTCATTCCTGTGAACCTTGATGGGTTGTTGCTTGCTGGGCAGGGACGCTCAGCTGGTCGATGATCCCAGAAGAGACGGGCGTCAGCTTATCGAACGCCTCCTGCAGGCTGATGGAGGACGACATCTGCAGCTCTGCAACAGAACATCATCATTAAACACTTAACCCAATTAATACACAGTTCATGAGAAAACCTGCTGCTGTGCTCTACTACAGTCAGCAGTAGTGACATCATCTGTCCACCAGATGTCACTCATGTGCAGCAGCTTTCATATAAAAGCTCATTGGAAGCAGTTTATAGAAAAATAAATTATACCAGAGAGACATTTATATTCAGCTTAATTCATATGGTATTTTGTTTATTGTTTTTATTTAATTAACCTTTTAAAAGGATCATTTCCACCTGTTGAAATTAATTTATAAAGTTTTATCTTCACCCTGTTCAGATTTATGTTATTTAACCAATAAAATGTTTATTTTCTTATTTAAAAGGGAACAAAAACATTTATTTGAAAATTTTATGTATTTCTATGTGGCACTTTTAAAATATTAATAAATTGACTAATTGTTGGAATGATCGCTTAATCGTCAGAATAATCCATTAATCAATTGGTAAAATAACTGCAGCGCAGCGTCAGACTGCTGGTCACCTGCCGGCGTTGCGGTCGGCTGCGGCGGCGTGGCGTCCGGGACGCTCCACAGCGACAGGCGGCCGGCCGAGTCTCCCTGGATCAGCAGCTTGTGGAACGGCTCCCGGCGGCCGAAGAAGAACCGGGTCACCGGGGGGCAGATGAGGAGCTGAGGGGGGAACGGATCAGAGGCGTGACGCAGACAGGAAGCGGAGAGCGCGGCCGCTGCGGCGCCTCGTTCTTCCTCATGTGAGCCGGAAGGTGGGAAACAGAAACATCAATCAACAGCCAACGTCACACCTGGACAGGCCGGAGTCCAAATCCCAGAAACGCCAGAAAAAAAACTAAATCATTTCTTATGGATCCATCGGCAGCTTGAACTGGACCGCTGACCTGAAACCCGGTTCTGACTGAACGGACGAAACAGGAGAGAGGAGGAGGAGGAGAGACGATCAGGACGCCGAGAACCACCAGGCGACAAACCACCGCCACACTGAAGTATTCACACCCCGGCTGCTTCCCCACTAACTTCAACACTTTATCAGGATTTTATGACACAAAGTGGAAAAATGATGATGAATGATCAACATTTACTGAAAATGTAAAAACTGTGACCTTCATAGTCAGAATGAGACTTAAAATTTAAATTAAGACGTTTTAATTCTGCAAAATCTGAGCCAAAGGGAAGCATGTCCTGCCAGACACACCGTCCTCACACTGAAGCACGGTGGTGGCAGAATCATGCCGTGGGGGTGCCTTTCTTCTGCTAGAGACTGCAGAAAAACCAACCTATACCTGCAGCTAGAGATAACAGGAGATGGCCTAGTCAAAGCCCAAACCTTGATGCTCAGAAATGTTTTCTGTCCAGTTTAACAGTTTGAGACGTTTGATGAGCAGAAATGTCAGTTTGACCTGAAGAAGCATGGACGAGTTCACAGGGTGTGAAAACTTTTAAAGCCACAGCAGCTCCAGACATCAGGGGGGAAAAGTTCTGCTCACCAGGACAGGAGGGAAGAAACACGGAGGCCGATCAGCAGCAGGCAGCTGAGAAGAAACTGAAAATAAAAACAGCTGCAGCAGCAACGGCAGATTCAGACAATCCGGCCGAAACTCGCCGCAGGCTTTCAGGGAGAGACGCCATTTTAGACGGATTTTAACTGGAAGTCCTCGACGTTTTAAACACTTCATCTAGTTCATCTGCAAGCGTATCTGGTTCCAGTTCTAGTTCTAATCATTTTACTTCAACTGCTTGTCCAAGTTCCTCAATTTCTATTAGCCAATTTCTTTAGCTGATTTCTGCAGCTCAGTCTTCTTCTTGTTGCCTGCTGCTGATGCTAAGCGTGTTGTGGGCTTACAGGCGCCTCTAGAGGCCGGAGTTGGTAAAGCTGCAGTGGGGTGTAGAGCTCTGGGGCGAAGCCACTGGGACGGAGGCATATGACCTCCACCTCCTGCTCCTCCTGCTCACCTTCGTCCCTCTGGGAGGAGGTGAGGGTCGGTTTATATGGGAGGGGTGGCAGCAATCAGAGAACAGGAAATAAAAGAAACATAAAAACAAAACAACAGACAAAACGTAAACAAAAGTAAATTATAACATTCAGGACAAACAGGAAGTCTAACAGAAAGCCTAAAACATTGAAACAACAGATGAAAAGCAGCGAACATTTCTGCTCCCATGCTGCTTCATTCGGGTCTAACATGAACATCAGCTGGTTTGATCCGCGTGTCTGAAACGAGCCCAGAACAGAAATACGGCAGAAAGCGCCGCGTTAGCCGGGATGTTGGGCCGGATTACAAACCCACCAAGGAAACAGATCATTATTATTCCTTCAATTCAAGATCAAACTGACTTAAAACCGTTCAGCTGCCTCCATGAACCAGCAGTTAGCTGCAAGGCCAGTAAGTCTGCGCCATAGTTTCCACTTTTTAAGGTTTGGAATATAATCAAATTAATTTCAGAAGATGAAAAATATTCTTTGTTTACTGCTGACAAACAGAAACAGAAACAAACTGAACACGTACCAAACTGAGACCCCAGGTCATGACCAGGTGTTTTACAGAAACAAAATGGCCGCCTCAGTCCACAGAAAACCCGTGGGACTTGAAGAGATCAGAACCGGAGAGACGGGCTCTGAAAGGATGAACTCTGACCTGTTTGTCTGAGCGCTCGGCGATGCTGTAGATCAGCGGGGGATCGATCCTTCCTTGGTTCGCCCAACGTCGCTGCGGAAATGTTCGCTGGCGGACTGGCAGCTGAGAACCAGACAGAGCGTCAACCCAAACGGGTCAGAGACGTTTCTCCAGCCGCAGGCGTTGGGCTTTACCTGGCCGGCAGCTTGTAGATGTAGCTGCAGCCGTCTTCGGTCCAGATGATGACTTTATCCGCAGAGATGAACTCACCGCCGGTCCAGGACTGGTCGCTGTCGCTGGGAACGGAGCAGAGCAGAGAGTAGTCTCCTGCATCGAACACCTGGGAGACAGAAAGAAACGTTATGAAACTGACAGGACGAGTGAAAGAGACAGACAGAGGAAAAGAGACAAAGACAAAAAGGCAGAGAAAAGAATTACAGACAGGAGAAATAGAAACAACACGATAGACAGACAAAAAGAAAGAGATGAAAAGGCAAAGAAAGACAAATAAAGGCAGAAAGAATCACAGATAAAATAGAAAGAGACAAAAAGACAGAAAATTACAAAGAAAGAAATGAAGACAGTCAAAAGAGACAAAAGGTAGGGAAATAAAGACAAGAAGACAGAAAGACGAGAGATAGAAAGAAAAAGGAATAAAATAAAGACAAAAAAGGAAAGACAGACAAAGAGAAAAAATGGAGAAGAAAGAAAAAGGCGGACAGACGGACGGAGTGTCGTACCCTCCAGTACTTGGAGCAGACCACCAGCAAGCTGCTCTGGGTGAAGCTGCAGAACGAGATGCTCTGGCAGCCCTGGCAGTAGTAGATGGGCTTGGACTCTTCCTCAAAGACCGGGTCCAGATCCTGAACCAGGAAACGGACCAGAGGCTCAGATCAGAGTGTGTGTGTGTGTGTGTGTGTGTGTGTGTGTGTGTGTGTGTGTGTGTGTGTGTGTGTGTGTGTGTGTGTGTGTGTGTGTGTGTGTGTGTGTGATCGCCTGCAGCAACAAACCTGCATCTTGCTGACCTCAGCTGTTATCATCCACACCTTCAAAATCCCCGTCACTGATACTGCCACCACGTGTCCTCTGAGGAGCAAATCAGGTTTTATCAGGACGGCGTGTTTGAGCTGCTAGCATAAAGCGGTCACCGTCAGGTAAACGCACCTTGGGTCCGATGGGAGCGGATGATGCTCATGGAGCTGATCCAATCAGGAGAGATCTTAGAGACCAGAGAGTAGAGCACCTCCAGGCTGGTGGCGTCAACCACAAGGATCTCTGGGTAATGGCCGTTACACAGCAGGCGGCCCTCCTTCAGCGTACCGATGGTGAACTGGTAGAACTGAGGGAGGAGAGAGAGACAGAAACAGGAAGATAAAGAAAGAGAAAAAAGGAAAGAAGACAGAAAAACAGACAAAAAGAAGGAAAGAGAACAAAAGTTAAACAAAACTACAAAACCTAACATGAAAATTAAAAATATTCTCCTACAGAAATGACTGAATCGTATCGACTTCTGGAAAAATAACACATATTTCTTCTTAATAAATGTTATGTTAAACGCTGAGGAAGAACCTGACGTTTAGCTCATGAGTGAACTTCCTGTCTGCACCTGATCCCACCAGGTGAGTCTGTGTCTCACCTGAATCCCGGTGTGAGCGCAGGCCAGCTTGGTGAACTCGATACAGCGCCCGTCGTTTACGTCCCACAGACACATCTCCCTGGAAACAGAAACATCAGAAACATGAGGTCCAGCTGGGCTTCAGGACAGTCAGAGTGCATGCGGTGGAACCGACCCGCTCTCCGAGGCGCTGACGATGTACTGCTTGTCGCTGCTGGCGCTGGCTTTGGACAGGCAGGTGACGGAGGCCGTGTGGCCGAACAGCATCGCTCTGGGACAGATCTGGAGGCAGAAACCGACCAATCAGAGGAGAGGACAGAAAATATGCTTCTGCTTTTACATTTTTAAATATTAAAATAATTGGCTGATGATGGATCACTTGTGTTTGTGACTGAAATAAAATTTCAAAAACAATTTAAAAAAAAACAGAAAAGGCACAATAGCAAAAAATATTATCAATTTTTTTCAAAAAGGGAAGATTTTAATATTAAAGGACGAATAATGAATAACCAAAGAGAAAAAGGGCAACAAGAAATTAAGAAAAATGGCAAGAAATAATAAAAATTTTATAAAAAAAGAAAAATATTTTGTGTTAAAGTACAAAAAAAGTAAAAATAATAATCAAACACTAAAAGGCCAAAAAAGCCAAAAACTAGTTTAAATAAAAAATAAACAAAAAAAGGAAAAGATTGTAATATTAAAGCACAAAAAGAGAGAAAAAACAAGTAACAAAAGGTTTCAACTAAGAAAATATGTTTAAAGAAAGATCTGAAAAATTAAAATAAATGGTTATTAAAACAGAATAAAGTCCAAGCAACAGGAAGCAGGAAGCAGTGAACAGGAAGCAGGAAGCAGTGCGCCCTCCCCACCTGCAGCTCGGGCGTCATGTCCCACAGGCAGATCTGACCGTCATGGCAGCCGGTGATGATGGTGCTGAAGTCGTCCATCACCAGTAAGCTGCTGATGCAGTGGGTGGGCGCCGTGCGGCCCCACAGCACGATGGGCAGCACCAGGTTGTTCCCCGACATGATGCTGACAAACAAACATGAGAAGAAGCCATTTTATCACAAACCTGCTGCTACAGAACCAGACCGACCCGAACAGACAGAACCGCTTTGTCTCCACATTTAGGTTGAACAATTATTACCTCTAGTTCTGGATGCTCTTAATCTTTTTTTCTTCTTGACATGTAAACTATGCAAAAACTACCTGGACGTAGCAGATTAGCTTCTGAGAAGCTCAAATAAAACCTGAACTCTGACCCCAAATCCCAGAGGAGGTGAACAGGAGGAGACTCCCCTACTCCAACATCCCTTTAAAGACCAGATAGACTTAAAGAGGAGGAGCAAAAGCAAAAGAGGTTGATCAGATTGGTGTGATTTCATGAGTTAAGCATTTCATTCATTTTAGGATAAATAAAGTATTTCGAAGTGAATTGTATTGAAATCTCGCAGCTTTGCAGCATCAGACTCACTTAAAATGTGTCCAAAACATGAAATTATGCAGAAATAAAACTCTTAAAAACAGTGATCAATATAAATGTGGTGCTTCACTGCTTTAGTATGAAGTTAAGAGGATTTCATTTCTGCAGCCATGAAGGAACAGCAGGACAGAATCAGCATCAGCTGAATGCACAGCTGGTTGTTTACAGCCAAATATAGACCAACAAGCTAACGCCTCAATTTAAACCCAAACATTTTACAGCCTGAAATTAAACAACAGACACATATACAAGATATACTCACAAGTAACAGATAATTAACCCAGCAGCTAACTGTCCCTAATCATCGGACGTTAGAGGACAGAGTTAGCGCTCTCACTTCCGCTTTAGCGACGCTACCAGCTAGCGGCTAACTGCTAGCGCCTAGCAAAACATTCCGATACAAAACGGCAGAGACGCACCAGACGCTGACGTCCTACTGGGGCAGGTCCGACAGGCCGACGGCCTCACGAAAACGGTTCCTCCTGCAGCCAATTCAGACCAAACAGACGCCGTTATTCTGCGCCGCTTCTGTAGCTGGTCCGACCGACAAACAGACCGGACGGGTCAGCTGATCAGCTACATCCGGTCACTCACCAAAATAAAATAAAATAAAATGTACCCATTGTATCAGACAGAAAGTCAATTTACCAAATATGAGCAACTAATCATCAATCAACCAATCATAGAGATTCACACTTAAGGAAAAAATACACTAAAAAATTAGTAGAGACTCAAATGGAAGAACAAAATGAATTTTGCATAAAAGGGGAACCATTAAGAATTTACTCTTTGTACTGTGTGAAAAAAACCTGCTCTAATTAAAAGACGTAATTGTCACACACTAAAACCAATTCTGAAATAGCATATAGAAATTATACCGAAAGAAACTTAAGTCGTGATTTTGAAATGCCGAGTCACAATTAAAGTGCAAAATCTCAAAATTATGTCTGAATTGGGATCAACCAGCTTCAGTGTAAGAACCAGAACCTTTTGGAGGAACATATTGGATACAAGCAGGGCTGAAAGAAGGGGAGTTTGGTTGGGTCCTGAGAACCTCTGAAAGATTTAACTGGGCAGGCAGAACCTGCTGGAGACGAAGGCTTTAATGGAAAAATCAATGGGTCCACTAATCAGCCGTGAATGATTAATTTATCAAGAACAATGTGAAACACGTCTTAATCAGTTAATAAAGAGCTTTTTCCCATTTCACATTGTTTCTGGACTGTTGGTGTTTTGTTAGAGCAGCGAAGGTTTTGAGTCGATCATGAAATGACAACTGAGGCCTGCAGGTCCTCTGACTCACTGTCAACAGGTTCCTAACTTTATTAAAGAACAGCAACAACAAACCTACAAAATGTTCAAGTTCATGACCAAACAAACACAATAATCTCAGTAATTACTGATTCAACAAGGTGCTGCGCAATTCTTTCGTTTCCTGATCTGCTACCAAAATAAGGGAGCAGATCAGGAATGAACTAATCAATCACAGCCATGTGGGAAATACAGCTTCAATTCAAGACCTACCAGCAAAAAGATAATCAACTCCTGAGGAATTTACATATAAGGCGGGTTAATTATATATTAATTAAGTAATTATTGTTATTATTGTATAGTATTCCGTATGATGCAGCTCTACTTGCTTTCGTCAAATATTAATTCATGCCATTGCATCTGATAACTGATTTATTTGTTTTATTTTGTTTTTCATAAATGGGACTTTTGTTGTTGTACTTCCTGCAGGAAACCGGAAGTGGTTGCTGTTGTTTCTTCTCCTGACTTCCGCCCAGCCAGCCGGAGCAGCAACACGTGTTGAGCGGCTCGCAGTGGAAGTTTCTGATTATTGGGTTTAATTTGTGAGTCTTTTCTCCTGCGTACCGTCCGGTCCACAGTCTGAGCTGCAGGGTCCAGCTGGTACATGCGGGTCCGGCTGTTTGCGGCGGGTAAACCGAAGCCCCATCGGAACCAGCTGCTGCCGGGTCACCTCCACATGTCTGGACTTGTTCTTACTGTCGGGCTCACGGACCTGGATCGTTCAGGATGATGGATTATCAGTTTCCGCAGCAGCTTTTCCCCTCGTTTTTCAGCTGCGAGCCGCCGAACCGGGTCCAGAGACACGATGCCGGAGGATGGGGCTGCTACCACGGAGCCTTGCCGCAGGTGGGTTCTGGGCTCACCTGTCCAGGTTCGGCTGATGACGTTCAATACGCCATGCTGCGTTCACCGACAGGCAGGGAATTTAAAACTTTGGCTTTGATAAAATCAATAGTTGTTACAAAATCACACAATCATTTATTTTAGTAATGGATTATAAAGTGAAACATTCAACAGGTTTTAATGTAACATCTTCATCTGTTTTATACAATTTATAATGCTTTACAAACGGACAAATAATCTATTTCTTTCTTTAAAAGAAATTGTTATTATTATATATATATATATATATTATTCAAAGAAAATATGAAAATAAACACTTTATTATTTGTTTACTAGAAATTATTCAGAGAATCTGAAACTATACTATATATATATATATATATATATATATATATATATATATATCCTCCTGAGACCCAGAGAAAAAAAATGTTTTTGAATTTCTTTTTTTTTTACACTACATGACTCTTAGGAGTGAAAAAACATCACTACAATTAAAAAAATGTCAAAACATGTTTTTATTTATTTTTTAGAGTATGTCCTTTGGAGAGGACATCGGGACTCTCTTGTGGCAAATATGAACACATTTCGAGGCATACATTGACCTCTGAACTCTGACAAATCTTTAGTGCTGTAAATTTCAAAGAGCTACATCATTTAAGCCAGTTCAGATTTCCAGGCACCTCATTCAACTTAACAAAAGCAAGCTGATTAGTGTAGTTTAATCAGGTGTGTTGGTTCTGTTTTGGTTTGTGGTAGTCCATAAAGCAGTTCTTCTTCTTTGAGATGCAGGGGTACATGTTGCTTTTGATGCACTTTTGTAGGTTTTTCCAGTGCACCCTTCTGCTCTGCACCTGGAAGTATTCGGATTGTCCATCATCTTTGGCAAATGGACAGCTCCATACTTTCTCACTTCCTGATCTGGCTGGGGCCTCCTTCTCTTCTGTGATGGAACATACTCCTCATCATTTCGACATCAGATTCAATTGGATTGGGTTGGCCTGAGTGCCCCTGGGCAATCAGTTCCTCACCTAAGAGCAGTTTGAAGTCATGGTATTAGAGAGTTTTCTTCATAGGTTGTGCCAAAGCTTGGCTGTCTTCCTTATACTGTAACCAGGAGTTGGTGATGGCCAGATCGAAGAAGTGTAGGATTGTGCATACAGTCTACAGGCAGGAATCCTAAGAGACAGACAAATACGTTAAATAATTATGTCCTCTAAAAGTGATAGTTCATCCAAAAAATACTCTAATCTGTCTAAGCTTATCTACTCTGGTCTCAGAAACCTACGTGTTAGTTTTGGTCCAAAGTGCGACGGGCCCTTGCATCCTCAACTTCACTCTCCTCTTCCTCACTTGATGCCTCATCCTGAACTCCCGACCTCAAAATCACCGTCATTCTGTCCTTCTTGGTCCTCCTCATCTGACAAATCTATGTCTGAGTCTCCATCAGTATTCCTGTTTAGGATTTTCTCTGCCTCAGTCAGTGAGCTGACTTCTATTAAAACAGGTTAAAAAATAAAAAGCAAATCCTGATGTCCTCTATGGAGGACACACATAAACAGGTTATGTTTTATGCCAACAAATAATTAAACTGCTCTGAAATTCACCTAACTATTCCTTAGATGTTCATTTACTAGAAGCAATCTGAATATTAAACTCACAAATCTCATAATTAGAAAATAATACTTACCTTTCTTCTTTTGATAAAATGTGCTCACAGGGATGGCAGGCAATTTGAAGAATCAGGAAAAAAATTTCTGAAAAGCCCCACCCCCACACATGTCATATCATTGGAGAGCCCAGGATGTCCTCTCTAAGGACCAACAGGATTTAACACAGTGGCATGTATGGTTTCAGAATTATGAACAAAAAACCTATGTACTCCACAGAGGACAAAAATGCATTGCTGGGTCTCAGGAGGATATATATATATATATACATTTGTTTTAAACAAATGATCTTTGAGTCTCTATAATCCAGTCAATGATTGATCTATTACTAAATTAGCTGATGGTCAATAATCAATTAGTGATGATTACTGAGAGTCTTTGGCCTCAGTTTGGTGATGATGAGCTGATGCGGCTCTGGTTCCAGGGCGGCAGCGGCTCTCTGTCCAGCTGGGCGTTCACGTCCAAGCGGCGGGTCGGAGGGGAGGTCTGGCGCCAGACGGAGCCGGTTCCGGTTCCCCTGCTATCACCCAGGAAAGGTGAGCCGGTTCTGATCCAGAAAACATCCAGAGTCAGCGCTCTGTTATTTTATTTCCCATCGTCTCTGCGTGAAGCATTTATGATCTCTAATAGCGGCGTAGAGCCGTAATAAGTAGCTGTTTGATGCTTTGTGTTTTTCCTGCAGCGTTCCAGGATCTGGTGACGCCTCCTGAGCCGCTGGACTTCTTAAAACACGTGAGAAACATTTTAATAAACCGATCAGATATTAACAGCCAATTTCAGCTGATGATTATCTAAACTAACACTGAGCAGTTATAGTAAAATATAACAAAATATAACAAAAGATGACAGAAAATATTTTTATAAACTGTTTATCATAATTCCTTCTGCATGTTGTAAACAGAGTATTGACCACAAAATGTTTTTAATTGTTTAATTATGAAAATATCGTCATAATGTTAACAAAGGAAAGACACTAATCACCAGAACAATGTCTAAAAAATGGAAAAATAAACTATTTTTAATGAGAAACATAAAAAATATTTGCTTATTTTTTAAACTTATTTTAAAGATTTCCAACATTCCTCATTTAATTTTTTTGTTCATTTTTCATGTTGGAGTTTTTATAAAATTCCTGATACCACAAATTTACTCTTGTATCATTTAGACTTTATTGCAATAATTAATGCAAAGATATTCTTAGCTCAGTGCTAATACTTCGTCATACAGTTAACCACCTGAGTTCAAACAAATACAAGATAAACAAGATGGCCGACTTAAGTCTGAAGTTGAAGGAATTTTTCAAAAAGCAAAATTTGATTAATTCATAAAATGAAATTATTTGACTGTGACAGTAGAATTGATGCTGTCAATGACCAGAAAAAGATCCGAATTGTTTAAGTGGAAAGTTTTTGACCCAATTCCTCTGAAATAAATTTAAAAAAAAGGCTCAGAGTGTAAAGAAACGGCTTCCTGCTCCTTCGTCCAGATGCACAACTTCTTCATGGATCACGGCCCGGACGCCTTCGGCTGCATGAGCGAGATCCTGGGCGAAAACTTCCACTTCCAGAAAGCCAGGGAGAAGAAGGTGAGTCTCAGCCCAACCTGCGGCCGACGCCTCAGATTAAAGCTTCAGATTAAAGCTTCAGATTGAAGCTTCAGATTAAAGCTTCAGATTGAAGCTTCAGATTAAAGCTTCAGATTCAAGCTTCAGATTAAAGCTTCAGATTAAAGCTTCAGA